CTCTTCTCTCTTAACCCTAGGTATAAAGCACCTGCAGATTTATTTAAGTAAAGAATTTAAGGCAGGTAAGAAATCTTTATTTAAGTAAAGAATTTCTAACCTAAATTTATAAGACTAGTTTTTACCTTATAATTAAAGCTATATTAGCTTATTAAAATAAAAAAATAAAGTTATTAAAAAAAGCTATTTTTATTTATATAAAATATATATAATAAATAAAGTATTTTATAAATTAATAACTTTTTTATAAATTAATAACTTTTTTATAATAATAAAGCTATTATAAAAAAGTATAGTTATTTTTAAAACCTTTTTAAATACTATTTTTACTAGTGTTTTTATTATTATTTTTACTTATATTTTTACTATTATTTTTATTACTATTTTTACTATTATTATTATTAATACTTTTATTATTATTTTTACTATTGCTTTTATTATTATTTTTATTATTATTTTTATTATTTTTTTTTATTATTACTTTTATTACTATATTTATTACTATATTTATTACTATTTTTACTATTATTTTTATTACTGTTTTTATTATTATTTTTATTACTATTTTTATTACTATTTTTATTATTATTTTTATTACTATTTTTATTACTGTTTTTATTACTATTTTTACTATTATTTTAATTAATATCTTATTACTATTTTTATTACTATTTTTACTATTATTTTTATAATTATCTTTATTACTTTTTTTACTACTATCTTTACTACTATTTTTACTATTATTTTTACTACTATCTTTATTACTATTTTTACTAATATTTTTACTACTGTCTTTACTACTATTTTTACTACTATCTTTATTAATATTTTTACTACTGTCTTTAATACTATTTTTACTACTGTCTTTACTACTGTCTTTATTACTATTTTTATTACTATTTTTACTACTATCTTTATTACTGTCTTTATTACTGTCTTTATTACTGTCTTTATTACTGTCTTTATTACTGTCTTTATTACTGTCTTTATTACTGTCTTTATTACTGTCTTTATTACTGTCTTTACTACTGTCTTTATTACTGTCTTTATTACTGTCTTTACTACTTCCTTTATTACTACTATAGCTACTTTCCTACTTATAAAGCAGTTACTGCTTAAAATCTTATATTATAATACAGTAGTTAGCAGCTATAAAGTCAGTACTTAAACTATAGTATTATAAGCTATAGAAATAAGCTCCTTCCTAGCTTACACTTATAGAAATATCTTATACCTATCTGTTCTCCTTAGTGCCAAGTGTCAGGACCAAAGTAACCCTTTGCTGGCAACTCAGTAAGAAGGGTCTGCTGTCCAGCGCCGCCATCAATTGTCTCTCCAAGGACATTCACACCCCACCAGCTAATATTCTTGGGATGATACTGTACAGCAAAGAAGATAATAATACCAGAAAACGCAACGCCGCCAGTCAGTGCTGCGGACAAGACATAGTTGTATTTTTCCCACCATGATGTCTTGTACCTCCGGAGGTAGTACATAAAGGCAAAAGAGAAGTAGAGGCCGCCAGTGAAGTATGTAAGGTTAAGAGGTGCCCACTGAAGCATGCCATTAAAGACAAGGGAAGGATGGACGTGTTTGAGCCACGATATAGGTGTGAAGACGACGATATCGATGGGCCGGTGGATGGAGGCAGGTAATACAACTTGAGACGCAGCCCGAATATACGATCCAAAGCGCTTCAGGCCCCACCACAGTAGCGCAAGAAGGAAACCAAGGAGGAATGTATATTTAATGGCGGGATAGATCTGGCTGAAGATTCTCTTGGGACCGATTGCACCCTATGACAGTGTTAGTACCTTGCTGTAAACAAGGGATTGCAAGTCATGTTATCTTACCCAAACCACGGAGGCTGAGAAGTATACCTGCGAGCCGTTCTCGCAATTGAAACTGGAAACTTGGTCGGGAGTGCAGATTCCCGGAATCTGAGTGTCGGCAAATTGCACAACTCCGTATGCTACAAATGCCGTGATAATTGCGCTGAGGACTTGACCACGGTACATGGCCCGCGGAGGCACTTTGGCATAGAAGCCCATTTTTTGGTCGGAGATATAATTGTCGGCTTGGCCGTTGATGTTGTACCCAAATGCTTTCACAAACATCAGAGCTTCCGGATGTCCGGGCAAAGCATACCCAATGATCAGTTCTGTGACAACGTTCAAACCTTCAGTCGTTCCCGAGATTGAATAGAGGTAGGACATTGGAATCAGAAACACCAAGTTGAGACCGATCACGAAGAAAACTGTCCAAACAGGCGTGTTGAGCTGTGGCCAGTGTGTCACAATGATGATTGCGAAGATGAACGCAACGAGGGCAATAATCAGGAACCACCAATCGGGAACTTCGGGATAGCTGCGCATAAGGTTGGTCAGGGGGTCGTCAAAGCCATCATATATAGAGCTCTCATCGTTGATGCTTCTCAAGTGTCGCCCCGCTCCTCGCACGTCGCCGCGGGCAAGAGACGATGCTGTATTTTTGAGACCAACCAGAAGCTTCCTTGTCGATGAAATGGCCGCGTTTGCCATGGACTTGTAGGCCTTCAGAAGCGGCCGCCAAGCGTCGAGGATGATGAATACCATTGTGAGAGGGTAAAAGGCGAAGAAGGCACCATAGACAACCAGATTTCCAGCACTGTAGAATGCCGGCGAATATTGCTCATACGCACTCTCATCGAGAACCCCAGTATCAGGGCTGATGACCCTCGTGATATTGTATGAGTTCCCAGTGTTGTCAAAGATGCCGGAAGAGTTGATAGGAAGGTATGCCGACCAATTGGTATTGGTGTAGTACAAGGCGATAATGATCAACCCAGCGAGTAGCGTCCCTAGAAACTGTTGGAAAAATGCAAAGAAGGGGTACGCAAGGGGATATGAATATGCAGAGAGCACATTCCAGTCAAAAGTCGAAATGGGATTAAATCCGAGACCGTTCGTTGACCCTGTAATCGTATTCAGGTTGAAATTGTTCGGAGCAATCCACGTCATCCAAGCAAAGTAGCTGAGAGCAGGAAAAATAAAGTCGGGAAGCCAGAAGTAGATAAACATGCCACCAAAAAAGAGGAAGAAGAACTTGTATCGCGATAGCCGCCAGCCATGGATAGTTTCAGTCTTCTCCGGCACAAGCAATGCCCTGTTCAGTGCGACAGTGGGAAGAATGTTGGGCCATATGGCTTCCACTGGATAGACCACGAAGCGGCGTAGTAGTCCAGAGAAGCCTAGTCCCATGAGCTGCGTAGACAGAAGAAGGAGAATGCCATAGCCAGGGGTCAGCCATTTATCTTTGTAGTAGACGGTTTGAGTCTGGATATTCCAGAAGCAGTAGGCGGAAGTCAGTCCAACGTCGATGATGATGGTGGAAAGCATTTGCTCCTTGTATGTCCACGGGCCAGGATTCAACGAGACTCGTTGGCCGCGAACTGTAAAGCTCCAGTCTGGTAGTGCCCAAGCAAGGAAGAGGCCACATGGATAGAGAAGAATTTGTGCAACCGAGGATCCCAATGTAATCGAGGGAAACCGTGAGTTGAACAACGAATTCGTGAACTGCGCGATAACCGCCCACATGTAGCCAAGCAAATGCGCTCGGATAGTCTCACATGGGATATTCACATCGTCTGTGGGAGTGGTGATAGCGCGGACCTCCGGATATGGGGAAAAGAACTTGTTGATTGCCGCCTCGGTCTTCAATTCCAACTCCCACTCTTCCGTTGCCTGATTGTCAGAAGGTCCCTCGATTAGGGCAGCGAGTTTCTTGCGCTGGCTGTCCGAGAAGTTGTAGTCGTATTCATGGTGTTTGAGTAGATCCCGGATGATATCCTTGCATTCTTCAACACTCAGTATCCCAATCTTGTCCATGACATACTCGATGTCGTTGAGGGGTGCTGTGTTATTGCCAATGTCACCGAGCTTTTCGACGACCTTGTGCTCAAAATCGTCAGCTGCGTGGACAGTGGTAGGCAGGACGTTCTTCTCCTCGATAGATTTCTCCTGTGGAGAATCATCCACCGGGGGAGAGTTGTCGATGTCGGGTTCTTGTGAAGACATGGCGAAGGATTTCTTGTCTCACTCGGAGTTGAGGCTCGAATTGAGGTGTCTCTGACTCTGACTCTGACTCTGACAGCAAACTCTACTCATAATAACGAGGCAATGCAACCATGAGACGAGTGAGCGGTCGCCTACTCAAGATATCGAGGGTCGAGCGCAAAACCCCGTATTATAGCTAGAGTCTAGCCGACGGCCGCATCCACCTATATTTTGAGGTTGCAATCGCAACCTTTCACTTAGGTTCACAGGCCAAGGCAAACGATCCAATACTGGCTCATCCCATCATGCAATCGTCGTAATGCGTTATCTATGGCTTACGCCTCCATGCTCACCTCCACCAAGAACTTTTGCTCTGGACAACCACCATGCTAGAACCCATCGGAATACGGCACGCCAAAAAAACCGTACCCGTTGCCCATATGGTGGGTTCGGCAAACGGCACGATAACATGAAATATCTCTGATACAACGCCAGTCTCGATCACGAGCAGCACAAAAGTTCGACAGAAGGGTGTGATGCAAAAGTGCACTGGGGGTCAAGTTGAATAACAAGCAGGTCGCTGGTTGGACAACGCGGGGAATCTCCTGTTCAGGCAAGGTTCGATGGCGACAATGGACAGGGTCCGGCAGTTTGTCATCTTTCTATTTGATGCGATGCAGTATTGATGTGGGCAAGGATATGGACTAGGGTGCCTACCCTTTCTTGCTTGTCTTATCTTCGAGCTCCAAATCCAGCTTGGTAATAGTTCCTAGCACTTCGATTCGATAAAAAGAAGCAAGGCAGACCTTATTCCTCTGCATCATGATGCCACGCCACCTATACTCGTGTTTTTCACTCACATTTTGTGCTTCAAGCCCGCCGCCTCTTGATTGTCGGAATTTTTCATTCAAGGGTCTGCCAGAAATGACCTATCGATACGGAAGGACAGATAAACAGCGTGGGTACTGCGCTTTCGTTTGGCGAAAAGCGCTATCGCCTACCGAGGACGTCTTCCCCTTGTACTTTGCCTATTAATATCCCATGCTACATGGCTTGAAATGCTACACTACATCCAGCAGTTGAGATAACGATCGTACTGTGAAACCCAAACTGCTACTGTATTGGTGTTCTGGCTACCTCGTGTGTCACAATGACTATATATTAATAGATCACTCTTACTGCGTGTGTTCGCTTTGGTCAGCATGCATCATCGTTTCAATTCTTTGCACATACGGTACGTTCAGGTCCTGCCTCTGCTATTGAACTTATGTCGAATGCCAAGAACCAGTGCTTAATCTGGCTCCTTGAAGGATAGAGATCAGGTTTGAAGAATTATTGACATACGAAAAGAACTCGATATGTAGTAGTCAGTAATTCTTGTATAAAACGTCCGACGCATTGCCCGGTCGAGTGAGCTCGGGGTAGGCGGGTATGGAGTTTGCAGTAGACTAAGCAGCTAGACTGCTTCCAAGTTTGACTAGGTATTCACTCTGTACCACTTATAGATTGCTTTTGCATCTGGCTATTAGATAAGCAATACCTCGGCCCTGTCTTTCTGCCTGTCTAGGTGGATGGCGAGGTTACAGCGCGGGAAAGCAAACTAATACACTGTTGCGAAGTATGCCGAAAATACGTGATACGATTGGAACTGTCGACAGAAAAGCATTATAAGCACCATACGGATCAAACTACGAACCTTTGGCAGGAGCAGAGGAGTCAGGGGGTTGTCAGACACAGTTAGAGAGTGTAGATCGTGTCGATTAGTGCAGCTGTGTCGCCGTTTTCTTCACATAGAAGGCTCAGTGTAGTCTCCCCCGGCGCATTTAGTGAGGTTCGCAACAATTGCTTCCCAGATATTGCATCCACGTACGAGCTGTTTCTCCCCTTCGTTCTATTCTTTCTAAACCTAGTATGAGTCACTTCCCTCCTCTTTGTTAGACGTCGCCTTTCTAGAAGTTCCTGCATCTGGTCACAACCGACCTTTGCCCAAACCTTGAGGGTGCGTGGATCCGGAACTTCTGTGCATGACATTTAATGTGATACTTAATTACCTGTCCCTAAGATACTGGACTCAGGTCAAGAATCTTTTTATGCAAGGTATGCCTTGGAATATAGAAGCTTGAATTGGATACCTATTAAGTATTACACAATCCAATCGCATGGTGCTGAGACATAGACGAAAAGGTAGGTCTCTATCGCTTTAAGCTCTAGTATTGCTAACAGACTGTTAGACATAAAGGGGAGAGACTTTGTTATATCACCTGGTAAGTAATCTGAGCTAATACTCTAGGTAAGAGAGTTAGATGAAGTGGTTAAAGTGGTAGTAGCAAGAGCGAGGTACAAGTTATATACTTACACTCGTGCTGCTCCTCTTTTGTATTATTGCTATAGTTGCCTACTTGCCATTTTAATAGGAGAGCCAGAATTACGTATGTAAGTGTCAGTATAGATATTAGGCTGAACTTGACTTTATTAAAGATACCACAAGGCTGAGAGTAAGTTAATAATAATAATACTTTAGTAAAAGTCTACTTAGAGTGCATACCATTTAAGTGTAGTTAGGTTATAGAATGTGCAGTGTATATATATATAAAAGCATAGACTTCTATAAAGATATAGTAAGAAAGATGTAATTGCTACTAAGGCTAGGAGACTCTTATAATAGCTTTTATTATTCTCTGACATTTATATCCTTCCTCGCTTAGAACCACCTATATTATGTAGCAAGATTATAGGCAAAAGAATTGCGACCTATTTCTAGATAGGAACAGGAAGGATTCTCTGCTGACGCCACTTGACCGGCAATAGTATGCTGCAAGTCTTTGTAAATAACCGCTTTCTGCATTGTTTATGGTTTGGTTCTTTCATTGACCTTCCGTTATGGCAACAATTGTAAAACACAAAGCTTCTAATATACAAATCGGGCGACTGCAATTAAACAAATGCCCACCTAGGGGGGGCTTAGTGTAGTCCCAGGGTCCGTTTGCTACCAAAAGTGGCAGGACGAGTTCTATAAAGTGCTTATATCAGACGACTGCTTCAAATCGACTCCCTGGACTGTCTCTACTGTCATACAAACAATTTCTGTGTTTCGGGCCGTTAGTTTAATACAATTCGCGCTTAGGAAGTCCGCTGCCGCGTAACCATCTGTCTGCGCCTGAGTCGTGTATTCTCAGAGAGGATATGAGGCCATCGTTTGGTCTATAAGTAGGGCTTTTGCTACCACCACCGAACTGAATTGGCCAAACAGAGCCAGTCTGTCCTTGCCAAATAAAGTCGCTCCTTTAATACCCTCGACTGGTCACTACGCTCCTTTGGAAAACTCCTTCATCAAAATGAAAAGTCAATTCTTTACTTCTGTTGGCATCTTTGCCGCTTCTGCTTTCGCTCAGGCTGTTATTGACAGCGGAACTGGCTTCGGAACCTACTACTACGATATCGAGCAGGTTGAGGCTTGTGGTACCAGCTTTGCCAACCAGAACCTCGGCTTTGTTGAATGCAACTTCTCGACTGGCCTTTCTCTCAATGAGATCGATAGCAACTATCTGGTTGCTATGAACCACACACAGATTGCGGGAAACCTGGCAGAGTACTGCGGCAAGCGGGTTGTGGTCACTGTCAATGGCGTCAAGTCGGACCTCCCGCTGTTCATTGGCGACGGATGCCAACGATGCGGCACGGGCTCCCGTACCAACACTGTCTGGAACCCCAACGGCGCCCCTGGACTGGACTTCAGCTACACCGTCCTGAGTGAGCTCAACAGCAATGCATGCTTCGCCGGTCACATTGACATCTCTTGGGAGATTGTTGATGAGACCCTCTACGACTTCGACACCAATGCTCCTGGCCAACCCACCGGCCCTGTGAATCAGCGTCGCTCTGTGAGCCAACGATCCGAGAGGACTACTCGCCGACGCCGTTGAGTGATTCATGGATACTTGGTTGATTCGAGTTCCCATAAAATAGTACATACAGGAAGCACCTTGTCCATATGTATCATGACTGTATATAGTTCGTGGCAATAGCCGATTGCTCATGAGTCTTACCTCTGGGTATTTTATACACGTTTATTTCTACAAGAGTCCAATTTGATTCTTGACGGTATTAACAGTTCTGACTATACCTGTGTGTCCAAGCCCTTTCCTTGTGCATGTCTCTCAGGTGAGAAAGGTAGGCGAGGAACAATACTTTGAAAAATGACGACCATTCAAGGAAATGAAGAGTAAGTCATAGAACGAGATTGACTATCGCAGTCGGGGTTGCATCAGCTTGACTCCTAACAACATCTCCTCCTAGATATGAGTCATTTGCAAAGCATGGGGTACAGGTATCATATCGGTTCTTATATTCTCGCCCCCTACTACTATATAAGCGTATATCATCTGTATCTGCGAGTCATGGCACACTTTCGGAGTCCAAGCATTGTTTTCTAGGCGAGACCCAGGAAATACTCCAACAGCGCAGGATAATCTGGTGTTCCCAGTCCTGTAACTGGATCCCAGCCGGAAACAGCAGAGAAACCCGTGTTGCCACAAGCACTGGCGCCGGAATCACCGTTGGGGCCGCCCTTTGCTTGGTTCCCTACTGTGATATCGTGGAACATGGAGGGGTTGGCATAGAGCGCAGGGTTTGCGAAACCTATCGGGCTCTTGCCAGCAGCGATACGCTCTTCGTTGATCCGAGTTAGGATGCCAGCGAACAGGGGCGCAGACATAGAGGTACCGCCTTCGAGAACTTCCTCCTCCTTGTTGACAACGACGCCGTTATCTCCTACAGCAGAAACGTCGGGATAGCCACGACCCGCCCTGTTGTAGATGCCGCCGGTCGTGGGAATTACACCGCCGGAAGTGTTGTAGGAAGCATAGCCGGGGTCGTGACTGGCAAAGTAACTAGACGCTTGGATTAATTCCACATTCAATATCTTTACACCACCATCGGGATCACTTACGATGCTATGGCATCGGCTTGGTAGCTTGGAGTAGTCCAGATATTGCTGAAACCACCACCAGAAGAGAAGGTCGTAACAGCAGTCTCTGCATCGCCCGGTTGTTTACCAGACGGAAGCGTTGTAGCACCAACTGATGTCACGTAGGGGCAGCTAGCGGGTTCGCCCGGAGTGAAGATGTTGCGCTTTGGGCCGAGGCAAGGACCCGATCGACGAGCAACGCCGTCGTCACCACTGGCAAAGACAATGCTCTTCCCTTGAAGACCGAGCTTCATAAACTCATCGCATTGGCGCTGCAATCTCGGTCAGCAATCTGGGACTTTGCCAAGAATAAGTATGGGCCACATGGAGGGCGACGAACTTGGAGATAGTAGGTAGGGTAGTCAGCCTCAGCAGTTCCATACGAAAAGGAGATGACGTTCGTAGGTTTGAAAGATCCGCACTGCTCGTTTCGTGTGGTGCCGTCAATAGTTGGGTCGTCGCCCGTCTCGCCGTCGTCCGAAAAGGTGCAGTAGGATCCGTCGATTGCGTCGAGAAACGTGTTGAAAATATCATCATTCTTGACAGCAGCCTGGTAGAGAACTGTAGTCTGAGGGTAGATGATTGGAATGGCAATCTCAAAGTCTAGATCCGACTCTCCGCCGGCGTTAAAGGGGCTGGTAGGGGCAGTAGCGCCGTCAATTTCGTCGACCTTGGGCCCGGTAGATGATGGAATGTTGGTGGCAAAGTTCTCCCAGAACAATGTGAGGTCTTGCTGGGCATATGTATCCCCGGTCTCGAAAATTCCCAGTGCATTTGTGGAAACAGCTGTTGTTCCAGCCGTGATGTTATACATTGACCTGATGCACTGAGGGGTGATGGCAGAGCCGCACGTCGAGGTGGCAACTGCATCATGTGGGTGGTCAGTACAATTCCCCCAATCTTCTGTTCTCATGCAGCAGACTTACGAGGGTTCTCTCTGAGAATCTGCGCAATGTCTGCCGGAATAGGCTTGGAGGCTCGTCGGATCCCTTTCTCCCCACGCTTCTCGGCTCCAGAAGACTTTTTCATCGGGGAGAAGACAACACCGGGCGTGATGAAGTCGATGTGCTGAGAGATTTCCTCTGGAAGACGATATTCGTCTGTCCCAACGTGAACATTCCGTGCCTCCACATGCTGATAGGTGTTGTACGAGGTTTGAAGTAAAGACTCGAGCTGCCCAGAAGTTGTCGTGAAGTCAAGCCAACCTTTGCTCTTAGAAGCGGTGATGGAGCTAGCTGGGATACCAGACTTGACCAACCACGCCGTGACAGCAGCTACCGACGGTGGGCTAGGCGCGAACAGATCAACCACCTGATCAGCCGTGTAGTGGTTGCCGTAATTTGCAGACTTTGGATGCGACCTTTCGATAACACGGCATATTAGCACACAAACGTATCAAGTACGCAGTAGTCTGTTGTATACTCACACGTCAAGAAGGTAATCCATGCCCTTGTCGAGGTTGTTCTGCTTCAAGGCAATGCGGACTGGAACTTTGGTATTGGGATTGAGTGCTTCACGCTTCGTCCATCGCGCGTTGCTGGTATCTCGCTTCTCATGTACAATCTGCAATCCAGCAGGTACCGCGATAGCACCAGCCAAGAGGCTGTTGAGGACAATCAATCCAATCTTCATCTTGACGATTCAGTGTCTTCTCTTGATACTCCCTGAATTAGCTTGTTGCTTGGATAGCGGTCTGAAGAGCCTCTGGAAGGGCGGACCAAAGCCAGTACTTATAGAAGTATACCAGCCTTCATAACTTACTCTTCTATAGGCGGCCCTGCAGTGGGACTTGTGATGATTGCATTTGGAGAGAACTGGAGTTACCTTCCTTATTTCAAACTGATGACTCCCTACCCCAAAGTCCTTTACAAAAGTTCTAATGACGAATGGAGCTGTCCTATGGAACGTAACTATCTCTCTGCCACTTGCGCAGTATCACCGGATTGATTCGGGGTCGTGATTCGGGAGGACTTACCATCCGACTTGCTTGCTGAGTGGCAGACTCCTTCCTGAATGAGTATTTTGACTACAAAAGGGCTACAGATACGATTATACTTCTGTAGCTACCTCAAGTTGGCAATGATGTGTCTAGAACAAGGTGTGGTTGAAGAAACTTCGAACAGGCCGTCCTAGTGTCTGGTTTCATGGCCCAGTGATAAGTTACTATACGTGACAATTTGTATTCTAAAGACGCAGAATGACTGGCAACAGCTCAAATACTTGTCCAATGTGATGGTCCCTGCCCTTCCAGATCTTCGTTGTTGAGATTAAATGTTGATGATCGTTGCGTGCATTAACCCGTTCGTTGCGTTGTTGGTTTCGCCATTTGAGGCAGGGGTATTGACGGAAGCGGGTATCACATCGGGAAGGTATCCGGATAATCGGATGCCTCTGATTCTTCGTCCACTCGCCTGACCACTACTGCTCTCACCGGCCCGGCCTAATCAAATCCGCATCCAGCATGCTTGGAGACAGGGAACTTGACAGGCTTTTTAGAAGCATGCGAACACGCCTATAATAATGGCCAATGCCAGTGGTTAGAATCCCACAATGTAAATAAGGTGCGAGATATCTATCTATACTAGTGTGCCTTATCTTGATCAGGCAGCCGATAGTACCTATATTGGCGTCATAGCTTGAGTTGAGTCCTTCTCCATCCTGGGCCAGCAAATGCACGCTGGTGGGACCATGGATCTCTGTGATGGCTCAAGCTTGATTGCCGTGCGCTAAAGTCGATGGCTCGGCAAATCAGGGCAGTATAGTCCATCATACCTCAGGTATGTAAAGAGAGTGTACTGTTCGCACCAAAATAAAAGGTTCGCATAGGGGCTTTATCAGGATTAATTGTCTACCATAACTTTGCAGAATGCGAAACGAAGTACGGTCTTGCTACTTGATTATCCAGTCTGCACGTGCGCCGCACGCGAAGGTCAACCACTTCGCGCATCAGCACCCAATGTAAAGAGCATACAGCAGCTCATTTCGTGGGACAATGTGTCTCAACAATGATTTCAAGAAATCTATCAATGGGTGTCGAAGACGTTCAATCGTATTTGGCACGGGCTACACTTGATGGCTCTTGATATTAGTTGACTTTATGCTTGGGATGTGCCATGATTGAACATAGGAGCCACGAATGACACAAAAAGTAACTTCAAATGAAAGTAAAAGATATCTTGTGACCCTTGAATGTGAAGACTGCCTTTCCTCAGTCTAGAGATATACCGTCGTAAACAATAAATGTGACAACAAAAGGAATAAATAAAAGCATCCAGTGGATAATGAATAAACGAACGAAATAACCGCAGTTAGACACAGAATGTTTCCCAAGCCACTGCCAGCTTTTTTTTTTCTGGCCCTATGGTCATCCGTCATGACATTTTTCAGTTCTGTTCCTCCGACTTTCCCCCACTGAGCTGTGAAGTCATGCTAAGGCTTGACAGTCACCCCTTCAGGCAGCGACTCAGACACGAAGGGTTTCGGGGCCTTCTTCTTCTTCTTCTTCTTCAAAGTCAGTCCCCAGAAGTCTTTCTCATCCTTCTTCCCTTCGGTGGGCTTGGCCACATGATCAGCCCCAGGGCTGGGTTGCTCAACCTTTACAATCTCAGGCTCGCATGAATCTGCTTTCGATTCCGGGGTCTGCACACCATTCCTCGTGACCTCATCATCACTCTTGCTTGTGTTGGACTCACTCTTGACTATGTCACTGTGGCTTCTGATAATACTGACATCACCCTTGGCTAATGCGACATCGTGTTTTGCCGCATCCATTTCACCGTCTTCTGCATCTGCTTCGTTCCTCGCAGGTCCGTTAGTAGACTTGGCGTCGACAACGGAGCCTCCAGCTTGTTCTGACGTATCCTGCGGTTGCTCTTCATTCAGCGCCGGTGCGGGGGTCCCCTGGGTAGTGTATTCGTGAGAGTCATGGAACAATCCGTCTGATGTCTTGTGGCCCGAACTCAAGTTCTCCTGGAGTAGCTCAATGAGGTCCTCCAAGAGCATATCACTGATGGTCATGGGCTTTGCTTCAGGTATCGGATCCCACTCTAGCAGCTCTTTCGGATCCGTAAACAAAATTCTCAGACGACCTCTGAGGAACTGGCGGAGCCATGTGTCGTCCATGTTAGGGTTTGGATATGCCTTTCTCACAAGGTCAAATACCAAGGGAATTCGGAACTCATTACCGAGCCTGGTGATTTCGGCTTTTGCAAGTTCTTGCAACCGTGGCAATTTGTATTCTTGAGCAGCGCTGTAAACGCGGATGCTCGTGTCAAAGTCAGGAGCGAGGCTCTGGTTCATCGACGAGCCTTTCGCCCTTAGACATTGGTAGTCGTCGGTGAATAGGTAGTGGACAAGAACGTGAGCCACTTCATGGGGGATGTCGAGTTGGAGTTCGCCGTCTCTATTCAGGAAAGAAAAAATTTCACTCTTCGCAAGCAAGTGAGCTGGCACGTAGAATCGACTGCCGTCCTTCAACTTCAGGGTGATACTGGGGATCGTGTATGGACTAGTGGTGTTAGTGTTAGTTCATTGATGTTCATGGAGGTTATACGAGTCTGGTGTACTTACGAATCTTCTAGTCCAGTACTGAGGAGCACGGAAGCTGTCTCTATTGCCAACGCCGCCATTGCTGTAGTGGAATTATTGGAATGCAGACAGTTTTTTGGTCTTGAATGAAAGGTGTGAATTCCTCGGACAAGATCGCAGTCAGAACGATATAAATACTCCACGCTCGGGTGTTGGGTCTTTTCGCAGCCCGACACGCCTTGGCTGCCCAAGACTTTACAGATATTGCCGCTTGCGTGTTTGACTGTTACACACGCCTGTGTAGTAAGCTCTTTATATTGGCTGCATGAGGCGTCACGCCAATGCCCCAACACCTGAAGATGCAGTCGTCGGGCATCGATTTCCTTGGTCTACTATAGGTAAAGCAATCAGATGCAACGACTAGCCAATTAGTGTAACGTGTTTAATATGCGGGATATGTTAGGCTTCAAATCGAGCAAACAAATTCACGCATCTAATCTCCCTTCGTCCCTTACCTATCGTCACTGGCCACGAGGTTCTCCTGATCCCACTTACACCCCAGTGCGGGGCAAGGCGGATATCTCGAAGAGAGTGTAGGAAACTGCAGACACAATTCTACTCACAGGGACCGCAGCCCGGGGTATACATTAACACCTGGTTGGGATTACGTTTAGGATAGCCTCATGCGACGGTCTGGAAGATGACGGGTAAGGCACCTATATGCGGGAAAATGACAGCGGGTGGATTGTCCTCAGCAGCTAATTTATCATGCATTTCCCTGACGACTTAAGTGCATTTTTCGATTTGTGCCGACAACTGGAGCAACTCCACAATGTTGCATGGCATACCTTACGTATTGCACCGTGAAGTATAAGCCACAATCTCACTACTACGTCGTGCTTGAGACGTGTCCTCCGTTTGCTTGGGAACTTTTCCTTGCATAGCCATACCGACCCATCATCCCAAAACGTCAGACATGAGATGTAGGTAGGGAGACATTGTGTGCTGGCACCTGTTAAAACTACACGAGGCATGATGGCTCCAATGACATCTATGTTGAGCGGTTGGACGAGAATGATGATCCTATGGTGACTTCTACCAATTCCATGGCAGTCCTATTGCGAGCCATCCGCCGCGGCCCTATATTCCACCCGAGTCCTCTTAGAACCGGACAAGTGCGAGGAGCTTTTTGAGGTTTGGAACACCAAATCCAGTCGTCGGGTCCCATCCCTTGGTCGCGTTCCAGTGTGCGCCTGCAATGAAGCCGGCCTATCCACAAGTTAGCATTGGCGTCTGATAGAAGGCTTCTTGATGTTCTGCATACTCCTGGGAGAGGACTGCCCGTCTGGGTGTTATTGCCGTTGCACCCTTCAGATTGGCCCGAGGTGATGTCGGTGAACCCTTTGGAGGCGTGTAGGTAAATCAGCGGATTGAGAAATCCAAGCGTGGGTTTTCCTTCGCGGAGACGGGCATCGTTCAACAGCGCCACGATGGCTGCTACGACAGGAGAGGCTGCTGAAGTGCCTCCGCTTGGGGTGAGTTCACCGCCCTGAAACACAGGATAGCTTCATGGCGAGTTAGCATACATTCTATGATTTGCATAGGTAGGAATAGAACTCACTCGGGGCTGACGCTGTGGGCTGCAACATCGGGGAAACCTCGTCCGGAGAAATCGACATAAGGTCCATAGTATTTCTTTGTCTCAGCACTGACATATTTCTCAAGGTAAGTACCCACAGCTTCCTGCTGGTACCAGGGTCTAGAGAAGTAGTAGCTGAAACCTCCAGATGAACCAGCCCAGGCAACCTCGGGATTGAAGCTCACGGTTCCGCCAACACTTGTAACATAAGGACATGTAGCCTATGTGAACAGAGAGTAGGGTAGAGTGGTTAGTAGGAGAAAATGGTTGTCTGGAAGTGTTGACGTAGAAGACCTACAGGAAAGATGGGGTTAAACTGAGGCGTGGTGCTGTTGGTAGCAACGCAAGAGGCGCCCACACCCTCGTCGCCCGAGGAATGAAGGACAGAGATACCGCGTAGTCCTAGCAGACCAATCAGATTGCAAACTCGAACGGCATATGACCGCGGCACAGTTTGCTCCTCGTCGCCGTAGGAGTTGGTAATGACTTGCGGAATTTCAGCGTTGGACTTGGACAACAGAAATTCGTAATACTGTAAATAAGGCTCGTTCTCGTTGGGTGTTCCCGCAGGTTCAACTGGATCGGGGAAGTATGGCGGACTGCCGGCGGTGATGAATTCGGTGATGGGGAGAGGATGTGCGATGGTCAAAATGGTTTGAGCGTCCAGGTTGGCTTCGCCATCGTTGGCGTCAGAAGGCGGCTGAGGGAGATCCGTTCCACCGTTGATCAGGACAACGGAGAAGTTTTGACTGGGGATGTTGAAGTGCTTCTCAAAGAGTGCTTGATCTGCGAAGCTTGCGCTCTCATTGAGAAAGGAACCAAACCCAATTCTGCTGCCAGACTTGACAGACGGGGTGTATCCATCAACACTATACTCGGTCCTGAGACAGTCTGGCTGAAAGACATTGAACGTTTCTCCCTCAAAGACTAGAGTTCCTTTGCAGCTGGAAGGTTCTTGGCGAGCGGCTAGAGCATCAGCGGCTGGGCTCACGCCACTGGATTTCAACTTCCTCATGGCCTTTGTCGTGCCAAAATAGGTCGTGGGAGAGATGAGATCGACATGGCCGATGAGGCTCTCCGGGATCGAGTACTTGAGAGTGCGCACCTTCTTCGCGCCGGTGAGATCGCTGTACGTGTGGAAATTGGTGCTGAGCATCGCATTTGCAGTGGAGATGTTTGTTTGAAACCAAATGCTGCTGCCTTGCTTGGTGTAACTCGTCACTCCGTGGGACTGAAGCCAAGACTCGACGGCAGAACTGCTAGCATCACTTGGAGCGAAGATGCTGTTGATCTCGTCTACATCCAAGTATTTGCCGTAGGTGCTAGAAGTGGGTGTGGATACAGCTGCGAGCCTCGATTCAAGCTGGTCAATGTTCTGCTGCGTCAGAGCAACCTGCAAGACGATTTGAGACGAAGGGCTCGGGGTTTCAGCTGCTTTCCATCCATGAGGCAGCTTCTCCAGACTCTCCAATAGATGGACAGAGGCAGATACCTGCACACTGACAAGGGAAAGAAGGCTCGCAAGCCGGAGAGTGCTCAACTTTGCCATCCTATCTTTGTAAAGACTAGCAGTAGTAGATGGTAATCGAGCAAGGAGGCCTGGCTTGGGCTTGGCATTTGACAATCCGCAAGGCGCCTTTATACATGTACCGAGATCGAGCCCCGTAAGCTATCCCATGTCAGCTCAGACCAATTAGAAAGTATCTTACTATGACTATTTGAAGAGACCGATGCGATCTCTTCACCTGATGATGCAATTGTTGTTATGGTTAACAACATGGTAATCACTGATGCCTGTGTAGCTACAGCGATTGGATGTTCTGCTGAGATACGAATGCAGGGGTCGGGCAAAATATCAGAACTTGGCACAGATGCAAGATTACGATTCCCGCTAACCCCGCGGTCTTAGCAGAAGTTCTGTCCATCTTTCTCCTTACTTGGAAGGTCGAACCCGCTAAAGGAAGGAAACTAGCAGTCCAGGGCCTGTCAATCGGTGCCGTGGTTCCGAGCCGCATAGCGAAAGGGGAAAATGGAGCAGCACTTTTGAGGCTCTCCCGGTGAAATCCGGCAAGCGCCAGATGCTATACTACGACGTAGCAAAGCCATTTCTCATTCTTACTGATAGAGTTCCCCCTTTTACGAAGCTAGGGCCGTCTATAAGCTACACATTATTGTTCAATCCTTCCTCATGCTGTAGTAAGTATGTTGAAAACTGGCAAGTAGTTCTATCACTCACGCCTCGCATCTAAGCAGGTTTCTAACTTCACAGAATGCTACAGCCATGTTCAAGGAACGAATTGGCGGTGTGTCCCTCGGTTATCCCACGTGCCTAGTGGTTTCTTTATCTCTAATACTACTGGTATTACACATCTTACCTAGGTTCTGTTAGCATAGCTTCACAAGGCTAAAGTATCTAGAGGATTTTTATAAAAGGTCTACCTTGCCATCCTTCCCCTGGATTAATCGCACCAGACTACGCATAGTATGCATTTGAACGTCAGCCTATGGATGTCAGTCTTTAAAGAAAGAAGCACCTCTTGACTCTTGTCTCCCCCTATGTGCCGTATGTCCGAGCTGTAAATAAGCAGCACGTGGTAAATTTATAGCATCCGTTTAGGACTTCAGTTCCGTACTTATGGGATCCATGGCCGGGCAATACGAACCAAAATGAGACTCAGCGTGGGGCAACCTACTGCCTATAACATGTCTATATGCCACCTCCTAGTGATACGCGACGCACAGGGTAAGGTAGCATCATGAATGAACGCTGGCCACCGGGTAACAATATGTAGATACGGTTGTGCTCCTCAAAGAGCACCTACTTCTGGTCGCTTATCAAGTATCTACGTACAGTACCTACGGATGCCCAAAGTACTTCTTCGCAGAAAGAGGACAGCTTCTTTGTGCATTCGTAATGCGTTAAGCCCTTTGATAACAGGATATTCAGCTGAACATCAGCTACAATTCCGTTACTCGCGATTCCGGGATATAGATGGGACAGGCTGATTCCTGATTTCATCCCATACTGGAACTCGACCATCGGGCGAGCTCTCAGGCTTGTTATCTTTCCTATATCGGGCAATTTCTTTCTGTTAGGTGCTACTCTCCATAACAATTGCCTTGAGATGGAGGTTGCATGTTTCTCAAAACTAGCTTGACACTCCCTCCCCGTCTCTTATCGAATTATCGAATGGTATTTTGGATCGTCCTGTGAATTTTGTTCTTGGCCTTGCTTTACTTATTGACCAATATGCTTTTTTCACTGCCAACATCTGAATCCAGTCGATCGTCGCCATGTGCGTGTCTCTATATGTAGAGTCTGGCTGTCAAGTTCTGCCTAGACGAGTTACCGAGCCATCTTTCGCAGGCCTCGACTGTTCCTCATAACGGTAACTGCCATGACAGTTGGCTCAGTCTTTAGTCTTTGGAACATTGACAGTTAACGGCTATAAGATGAGTAGAGTTTCACAGATGGCTTTCACGTTCGGTTCAATGCTGATCCACATCACATTAGCGACGTCATGCGTATTATCTGGAGAGGGTGCGAACATGTCAAGGGTTGCAACTGGAAGACACGACGTAAACACGACGTGGATTCCCATGGCAGATACAGCCATGAGCGTGACTCTATGAGGATCAAGAGCCTCGAGCTGGTAGACCATAGGCAGTGGTAGAAGAAGAATGATGATGTCCGAAGCATTCGAGAATTCAGCGTTGGCAAATCAGAACCTGGCGAGGTTGGTACGGTGCCTGGTATGGTTTTGCTGGGAGCTTTGCCGACGGGATCACATTGACAGTCTGTGGCAATAATTGATGCTAAGCGATATATCAGGACGCAGGCGAGCAAGCCCCAGCAAGCCCATCTGATCCAGCCGATGATCCTGATAAGGCGCGAGTAAAGCAGAGGTTTTGCAGGTTAGTTGCGATCACTGACCGTCTTTGCATCAACCTATACATTCTTCTTCAAGAGGCTGCCGGCAGCTAACAAACTCTTCCGGAGAGGCCTGGCTACATCCAAGATTATGCCATGTATCAGAGGAAATGGGCACTTCCCGATTCACAGCCATTCTAGCGCTAACAGATCTTGACTTTATGATGACACTAGTCCGCGTCTCGCTTTTGTCATCATTTCTTGTTACTCAAGAAAGATATAAGTTGCTAGAATATACTTCCCAGCCAGCGTACCAGATACGACATAGGTAAATAAACATGTAAGGTAGTTGAAGATTCAGTACATGCCCCGAGACTTTCCTTCTACGTACGTCCCTTGTACCTTGATCGAGGTATCATGCATGCTTGCAAAGGGCACTTCAAGCGCCCTGCCATGCCTGGTTTCCACTCACGATTCAACGTTAAGGGCTCACCTTTGCGTTAAGCGGAATGGCAGTGAACCATGGAAGCAAGCTGGGACTGGGGCACTTCTTATTGTCACCACGCCTTCCTTCCTGCTCTGCATTAATAGCATGAGGTCCGCCTACTCCTCATACTGCAGGCATCAGAGTTGTATCACACTACTCTTCCATACCAGAGGGTCGGCCTAGCAAGTAATTACTACCTAGGTAGGTCAAGACGAGCGATTGAGAACTGTGCACCAGTGTTGAAGAACCGCAGCCATCGCCAAGACCCCTGTCGCATCCACTCTGATGCATGCGCGTTGTTGGCTGCAAGGCCTCTCATACAAAAGTACTGCAATTGAAAGCCAATGCATGTACGTTACAGTCAATGTATTATGTTGTTGGACGACAAGCTGTTTATGTATTTAAGGGCGGCAGGGGGGCCTCACTTGGAAAAGCACTCGCTCGTGATGCATTGCTCTGGAGTGTTTCAATGTTTCACTTCACTTTCAAGGCAAGGGCGGATATACCCTCAAAAGTAAACTTCACGAAAAGGTGATCAGGCTCGTGGCCGTCACAGCAAAAGCAGGCAATTGGTACGGTCTCGTTAGCAGTCGAGTTTACCTCTCTTTAGCGATCCACAAGCGGACGGTTACCGGGGGATCCATTATTTGAATCAGCTATATCTGGAACATGACATGCAAATTATGAAGAAATGGACACGGAGGAAAAATAACCGACATAGTTGTGGTGGCATGAAGCTTAGTTGTAAGCGATATTCACTGTACATCTTTAGATCAATATCTTTCAGAGACCAACATATCACGACCTGCTTGACTTATGTTTTACACTATGCGAATTCCGCGACAAGTATGCGACTACTCTTGATACGAGTGAATGGGCCATCTGGGATGGGACAGCAATCGAGCCATACTGTAAAACCCTTCCTGTGGTTACCACCACCGTACACAAGGCACTGTTGAGGCACCATGAGATTAGGTTATCAAGGTAGCTCCGGCTATTTGCTTCACGGGTTAATGCATTCCGCCTGCAACCGATCTCGCCCTTGGCTGATCGGCGAAGAGGCAGACGAGAGGAAGTGTAGCATCCGATGGTCTGTAGCTACATATCTACCTATAAAGCCTCCATCCGCCAGACATAATCTTACTACTAAGGGGTAAGCACACCACGTTGAGGCATCTTGACTCTCGGAAAGTGCTACGACTCTCATGGGCCGACATGTATGTGAACTCGATCTTGTGGGCGAATCAAACAACACACTAGTGACCAAGAGATAAGTCCCGCAAAGCATGAACGTATGCGTCCAACTTCTTCTGAACTGTCTCGGGTCTCTCTTTATGTATTATTCTGGAACATGGAGTACACAAAAGTTGCGAATCTCATCTGGCATTGCGTTACAGAATAATTCATAGGTTGAAGATGCACCCTGCCGGAGCTTTGCCCAGAATCGTGCAGACCCTAGCCTGAATACTCCGTACATTCTCATTGTTTTCCTGGCAGTAGTATGCTCCCCCCCAGCGCAGTGCGAAGTAATTGGTCCTTCGTGAGGGATTCAGTGTCATGCATATGTGTCGCGATGTAACTCCATCCCCCGCGGCAACTCACGTTACCGCTGTTCTCGCCACACTCCCACGCAGCATCCTGGTGCTTTACAGACGGGAGGCAAGAGAGTTCATCACGTTCACTACTTACTCCTTTGCTCGCCACCCCGTTTCGCGGCTTTTTTTGTCAGTCTATTCCCGTTCTTCTGTGCCAAACCTGTCGTCCTTGCCACCTGGGCCATCACCACAGATTCATCATGTCAGCCGTTGAAGAGAAGCAGCCGGCCCTGACGAGAGAGCATGAGATGCCGAAACCGCATCAGACAAATGGCTCAGACTTTTCGGACGCCGAGATCGACCCCAGGGCCGAGAGCAGACTCGTCAGGAAGCTGGACTTGATCATATTTCCTACCTTCTTCGTGATCTACATGATGTCCTTCCTGGACCGCATCAACATCAGCAATGCGCGTATTCAGGGAATGGTCGAGGACCTTGACTTGACAGGCAACAAGTTCAACATCGCGCTGTTTGTAAGCTTTGGGCGAGGCAAGCCACGCTGTGGTGCGAAACTAACCGCGTGCAGACCTATTACATCTCTTATATCCTGTTGGAGGTTCCTTCCAACATGGTTATCAAGCGATTTCGCCCTTCCTTGTACCTGTCGACTCTGATGTTCTGCTGGGGAATTATCAATATGTGCATGGGATTTGTACACTCATACAATTCGCTTATTGGCCTTCGATTCCTCCTCGGCATCTTCGAGGCTGGTGTCCTTCCGGGAATCATTTATGTCACATCCATGTACTACAAACGACACGAGTATCAAAAGCGCATGTCCTTCTTCTTCTGCAGCACCGTCGTCGCTGGCGCATTTGGCGGACTCCTGGCCTACGCGATATCCAAGCTTGGGGGCCAACATGGGCTTGCTGCCTGGCGCTGGATCTTCATCATCGAAGGCGCTATAACCTCCACATTTGCAATCTTTGCCGCTTTTCTCATAATTGACTGGCCGGAGCAGACCAAGTATCTCACCGCGGAGGAAAAGGAGCTGCTTCGCCGCCGCCTTGCAGCCGATATCGATGAAACGTGCCGCATGGACGTTCTCAACAAGGCTTCGTTTCAACGGATCATATCAGATTACAAAATCTGGCTCGGAGCTTTGATTTACATGGGTGTCGGTGTTCCAGGTCTCTCGGGAACCTTCTTCCTCCCTACGATCCTCCTCGAGTTCAACTGGAAAGCTCAAGAGGCGCAAGTCCGTACGATCCCCGTTTACGTGCTCGCAGGCGGCACCATGGTCATCGGTGCCTGGGCTTCAGACAAATTGAGACATCGTTTCAGCTTCTTCGTCGCTGGAACGAGCATGGTCACCATTGGTTACGGGATGCTGCTGGCTCAGGAAGGCAAGTCTCGGGACTACAAGTTCGGCGCCGTCTTCTTGGTCTTTGGAGGCGCCTACATGGTTACACCCATGGCGCTTGCATGGCTTCAGAATAACCTTTCTGGCCATTGGAAGCGTGCATTTGGCTCGTCCATTCAAGTAACGATAGGGAACATTGCTGGCATAATCGGAAGCAACATCTACCTCGTCGACGAAGCACCCACTTATGTCACTGGATACAGCGTTTCGCTTGCCATGATGTGGTTGGGAATGATCTCTGCGACAATACTCTTTCTACTCATGTGGAGAGAGAACAAGAAGCGTGAGGCCGGAGAAAGGGATGATAGACTGCGCTTGCTGGAGGACGAAAAGAACAACTTGGGCGACGACTATCCCACCTTTCGATTTACTCTTTGATACCAGAATTCGGTTGGCTCTCATGCGTTATGAAGTTTGCTTAACATTATTGAAGTAGCGAGTTGTTCTTCTGACCGCACGAGGTCATGCATGACATTATGAATGAACCGAACGTAGGCGCCGGGATGGCCGCCTCGAGAATGTTCCTCTTGATGCGTGTTCAGGTATACCTTGTGTTGAGTGTATCCTGAGATGTGATTTGATGGTGAACTAACCACTGCAGTTTATTTTTCTGTTCAGTATTAGAAGACGCGGTGAAAATGCGCGGGGAAAACAGGTGGCGCACATCGAGACCGCGTCCAGAAGCGAAGGCATGGCAATTGATGTATCAATCATAGGCTCCGCATAAGATCGGCTCGGCTACGAGGGTCGGTTCACATCTTGGCGCGTCTTTTTACACCGATGGTGTGCTCTGCCTCCGCAATAGATATACATTGCTTTTGAGAGACAGCAGAACTGGTTATCAACTAATCATTAGGTGGTAATGGTCATACCGGTGGATTCTTCATTTGGCATGAACGTACGGTAGGTGCATGGGAAGAGAATCGATAGTATTACCTAGGTATGCCTGTGACATTATTGGACATCTGTCGAAGGATCTTGTAGCTGTGCTTCGGTACGGCATTGATATTAAAGATGCTTCTGGCTTGGCGGGAATAGCATCCCGAGGCTAGGTTGGAACCGGTTGGCGATGCTACCCATACCGGAGGAGACCCGGATTGGAGCAACCAAAACTCGCGCAGACAGACAGGGGTAAATAGTTACGGGTGCCACGTCCGCCGGGACGGCTCGAGATGCACCTGCTGCGTGCCATTCGTAGGAAATGAAGCTCCACGGAGTCGGCCTTTGCCCCGTGTAAAATGATCAGCTACTGTAGCGGAGGTGAGCTAGGGCATACCTGGATGTTCACTAGCCAGCGGTCCTTGACGATTCTTAGTTTGACCGGCTCCTTCAGTCGGCAATACATACCTAGGAAGAAAGAAGCCCTTCCTATAACAAGAACCACCTTCCAGTAAACATCGGAACGCATCTTTGCTGCGTCACCTGCTGTCTGCAAAGGAAACCTGACCAATACCGTCTGCTTATACGACACACCAATATGTATTCATCTTCCTTTGCCTTCTTTGAGGCGATATGGGATGCAGGGGTTACACACTGCTTCGTCAATTTGGGATCGGATCATCCAGGCATGATCGAGGCCATGGTCAGGGGCCAGCGAGAAGCCAAGACGAAATTTCCGCGTATTATAACATGTCCTAGCGAGGTATCAGCCCTCTGCCCACACCTTTTGGCTTCTGGTTCTTATAAGAGTGACCGCTGATAATGACTGATTTGACGGAATAGATGGTGGCGATGTCCATGGCGGATGGCTACGCCCGTGTAACTGGGAAGCCGCAATGTGTTATTGTCCATGTCGATGTCGGCACCCAGGCCCTTGGTGTGGCCGTTCACAATGCTTCAAGCGGCCATGCTCCCGTCCTTATTTTTGCCGGCATGTCACCTTTCACCCAAGAAGGCGAATTGCGCGGCTCCCGCACCGAGTTTATTCACTGGCTGCAGGATATTCCGGATCAAAAGGCCATCCTGGGTCAATATTGCAAATATGCGGCAGAGATCAAGACCGGCGTCAATATCAAGCAAATGGTCAACCGTGCATTGCAGTTTTCCCGGACCGCACCACAGGGCCCAGTATATCTCTGTGCTGCTAGAGAGATTATGGAAGCAGAAATCAAGCCTTATTCTATCAAGCAGGAACAATGGGAGCCTGTTGAACTGGGCGGTCTGTCCGCCAAGTCTGCGAGCCGGATTGCCAAGTCGTTGGCTGGCTCCGAAAGGCCCTTGATAGTAACGGGCTATTCTGGTCGCAATCACGGCATTCCCGGCCTTCTGGTAGAGCTTGCAGACACCGTCAAAGCCTTACAGGTACTCGATACCGGGGCCAGCGATATGTGTTTTCCCGGCAATCACCCAGCATGGCTGGGAGTCAAGCAGGGCTCTGATGATTCCATTCCCAACGCCGATGTCATACTGGTGCTGGACTGCGACGTTCCTTGGAGTCCAACACGCTGCAAACCCAGCCCTGATGCCACAATCTATCACATCGATGCTGACCCACTGAAACAGCGGATACCACTCTTCTATATCGAATCTGAAGCTCGATTCTTAGCCGACAGCTTAACCGCTCTCACGCAGATCGTTGACAATCTCAGGACAGGCGAAGCGTCCAAGGTATTAGCGACAAAGGCCCAAACTGCCGCAGAAGAGGCTCGTCTCCAGTCCTACACTGCCAAGATTGAGCGTATCACCAAGGCAGCCGAACCGTTTCCCGACAATACTTTCGGCACAGGTCATTTGAGCAAGGTGCTGCGCTCAGTGTGCCCCGAGAATACGATATGGGCCGTTGAGGCCGTAACAAACACTAGCTTCATACACGACAATGTGAGGCCAACACTGCCAGGATCCTGGATCAACTGCGGAGGGGGCGGGCTTGGTTGGTCAGGCGGTGGTGCATTGGGCATGAAGCTTGCTGCGGATGCCGAAGGAAAGGGCCAATTCGTATGCCAAATTGTGGGTGACGGCACCTATCTTTTCTCCATGCCTAGCAGCGTGTATTGGATATCCAAAAGATACAACATCCCCATTCTGACAATTGTGCTCAACAACAATGGTAAGATTTTGGCCTCCGTCACGTCGTCTCGAATCACAACGGCTGATTGGCACAGGATGGAACGCCCCAAGAAAGTCTTACATGCTGATTCACCCAGATGGTGAAGCCGCTGAGGCTACCAATGAGGAGATGAACATTTCTTTCGACCCACCACCCGATTATGCTGGCATAGCAGCTGCAGCTGGGACGGGCGATATATTCGCGCTGAAGGTGACAAAAGCTGATGGTCTCGAGGCCGTTCTCAGAGATGCAGTGGCCAAGGTGAAGGGTGGACAAACGACTGTCGTAGATTGCAGAATAGTGACGGATTGCTGAAGTCTACCTCACATATACGGTCCAGGATGAGCATCGTGGGAGTACCAGTGGAAGCCAATGATATGGCATCATCACCAACAAATTCGATAGCTTCCATCAATTTTACGTTGCATTTTTTTTTTTACCAAGTTTGATTGTTGCTCGTTTCTGCAAAGCACAGCATCGCAGGCTGCAGAACGTTAGGGACCAGGCCAGACATATACGAAATCCCAGCTTCAACTTCTCGCATAAAGAAGCGCCGTATGAAGCGGAAACAACCTTCGGCATGGACTGTTAGCCAGTTGCTGTACTTGTGAGCGAGATGTTTGCCGCGGAAACTACGCGTACCAGGACGCATAGTAATGCGTTGTGTTTAACGACTACGAACCATGGCGGGATAAACTATCATCTCTGGAACCTGAGGTAATATGCGACAGGCCTTCAATCCATAAGCAAGACGGGTCGGCGAATCGCTTCAACGACTGGCCGAGGCGGAATCTGCTTTTACCCTGAAAGCCACCTCCCCATTGCGACTTACAAGACTCCCAATCTATCCTTCGATTGTCTGATCGAAATCAATGGCATTTCGCATCTCTTAACGAGGACAAGGACATATCATCAAGATGAAGAGAAAAGCGGCGTTCGGCGCTCGGCTGTCCCCGATGAAGCGGCCAAAGTGAGAATTTAGTCAAACAAGCAAGTCAATATGGGGCATCACGCCCAACGCTAATCCCCACTTACTTTTCCGTTCCGCTATCATATCCGTTGAATATTTAATGTCAAAATGACTCCTCTAAGAGAGCTCTGTAATAACAACATTGCGAGATTAAGCATTGCAAGCATTGAGAAGGCCCATCATGTGCAACAATCAGCTTCACCAGTTTCTTCACGCTCTCCCAAAGTGCGAGCATCATGTTCACATTGAGGGCACCATTTCTCCAGAGCTACTGTTCAATCTTGCCTCCAGGAACAAAATTTCTCTACCGATGGACGACTCAGCCTTCGAGAGTCCAGCAACACTTCGGGCTCGCTACGACAAGTTTACTTCTCTCGATGACTTCTTACACTACTACTTCATCGGCTTCTCGGTCCTTCTCGAAGCATCAGACTTTGAAGCCCTGACATACGATTACCTATCTCTCGCCTATTCTCAAGGGGTACACCACGCGGAGATTTTCTTCGACCCGCAAGCCCACGTCTTGCGAGGCGTAGCGTATCAGACTATCATCTCTGGTTTGAATGCGGCAAAGCAGAGGGCTCAACGTGACTTCCCAAAGCTCAGCGTTGAATTCATACCGTGCCTACTTCGTCATCTGCCGGTGCCTTCAGGGCATGGAATGCTCGCCGAGCTGTTGGAGACTGGACACTTCTTTGACGGCACTCTTGTTGGCTTTGGAATGTCCAGCACAGAGCTGGAGATGCACCCCTCGCTTTACAAAGAGATATATGAGGCAGCACGAGCTGCTGGAGTTGCGAACCTGACTGCTCATTACGGTGAAGAAGGCCCTCCGGATTACGTCAAGGACGCCCTATCACTCCTCGGAGTGAGGCGGATTGATCACGGCCGACGCTCTGCCGAAGACGAGGAGCTGATTGCACAGCTGGCGGATACAGGCACAATGCTGACCCTGTGTCCACTGTCCAATGTCGTCCTGAAAGGGGTGGAGAGCATGCAGGAACTGCCCATCAGGCGATTCCTCGACGCAAACGTCAGGTTCAGCATCAACAGCGATGATCCTGCCTACTTTGGGGGATACGTACTGGAAAATTACTGCGCTGTTCAAGAAGCCTTTGGATTGTCGGTTGATGACTGGGGAAAGATTGCTCGGGGAGCCATAACTGGGAGTTGGTGTTCTCATACCAGAAAAGAGCAGTTGTTGAAGGAGGTTGAAGAGGTGCTGCAGCAATGGGTATAAGCTGGTATTGTAGCTCGTCGTACACGACGAAACGCCATGCCACGGCGTGGCGTCGACCAATTGGCGACTCTTATTACACTTGCCGTTGCGTGTTTCAAAGGCCCCATAGGCAGGCATACTAGTTAAGTTCCTGTCATGCACAGGCTATTGCAGTCAAAGCACATGGGGGAGGTAGAAGCTGCTTATGCCATGGTGATCTTTGGGATCGCTGGAATCGTGTTGAAAGAAATGGGAGAGGGAGTGCACATCCGAAAGGGATGCAGCAGGAGCACACGATGCGGCGATCAATCGTCTTACCCTGTATCAGCCATGGTAAGAAATTAAACGTAACTGTTGCCTCCGAAACAGAGCACAAAGACACACACGTGTGGCAGAGGAGGAAGAAGAAGAAGAAGAAGAAGAAGCGAAGGAAGAAGACAAGCAAGAGAAACAAAATTCAGAACAAGACTAATGTAAAAAAGGCCAATATGTTGAAATATCTCTTGGTATATGATGACAAAGACTTTGAGAGATGTTAGAATGTCAGCTTTAACATCCTGGCCCCTCATTTCCCACCCTCCCTCCCTTTTTTTTCCTTTTTCCATTTATATACCTACTTTTTCTTGATTCTCCCCTTCCATTACTGGACCGTGAGCGTTACACTGACAAAACGCCAGCAGCTCCTCACAGCTTGAAAGGCCTCATGTTCATACTCTGCGCTCTCCCGGAGACGGTTCTGTTGGTTTCAACACTTGAATCAGGTGAACTGTGCAGGATGGGGTCGCTAGAGGCAAGACCATGGAGCAACAGTGCCGATCTGGGGAATATGCATTAGGTTGGCCCACGCGCAATGAGGCTGCAGATTGGCGACGCCAGATCGTTATTGCAGACGTACGTTCCCGAGGAGTAGAACCTGGGAGTTGGTGATACTCTCGATGCGCTCTCGAGCATCAACTTCGTTGTGGCATACAAGTACAGGTAGTAGTACACAACGTGCGGTACGGCATTGGATGTTGTGCGACATTGCATCCTGGCTCTGGTTTGTTTCGTCCTTGGCACAAGGCGGGATGGACTGGGGCGTCGAGGACGTGTTCCAGGTTTCTCTCCACCGAGTCCGATTGTGTGGGTAACACCTGGTGGTCGAGACAAGGGATCCAAGCAAGCAAGGAAAGGAATAGTATGCGTAAATCAAAGTTACCCGACCTGATCCTATTCGGTGAGCAGCCCTATCATTAGTCATCTTCCTCGGAGATGGAGAGACATTTAGACACCGAGAAACGAGGATGCCACGGTTACACGTGCGCATTCGACCTGAATTCCTTCCTGGGCTCCTTCGAACGCCCCTTGCGCCTCTCGGTTGTCCTCTACCCAAGGGTGTAACCTACCTACCTCGGTATTGATACAGTATTAGAGGTTTAGATTATCTACCACTGCTGATCCGATGGCCCCGTAAGTCCTGCCTCGATGCATTGAACCCCTTGGCAGAACATGCTAATGGCTGCTGCAGGCTTCATTCTCCCTCCCCTTCCTTTCCGAGTCTGGAATCCATTACAGCGCCACAACATCAGATTTCTCTTGCAAACCTGGCGCTAGAGGCTGTCTAGCGCTGCAAAAACCAAGGAATCGAGAGTTTGACGCCAAATCGCTCTTTAGGACGGTTTGCTCCGCTAAAACCCACTTTTATCCCCGGCACCATCAGAATTGGGGACTTTTGATTGGCCAGAAATCCGGCCGACCAATCTCCGGCAGACTGGCGCACAGCCCTTTCCCGGCGGGAGCTGTGCTTACCTAAGCGTCGTCCCTTGTTCTGGCTGGCTCTGTGCTGGCCTCGGTCGCGTCCGAGTGTCTCTGTCGTGCAGCCAGCCAACCAGCCCAGTGGAAGGCAAGCAAGAGAGCGCTGATCGATCGCCCTTCTTTTTTTCCGTTCCATACCTACCTTACCTTACCATTAAACCTTAACTGCGACTCTATACACGAACGCATGCTGCCGCAGACTTGGCAATCTCGAAGTAGTTGCATCGCCTGCTGTGTCCATCTCAAGAAGCGATAGACTGATTAGAGCCGTCAACTGTCGACCAGAATTCTTCCGTCCATCACCTGCATACAGTTCTACAAACCCTCTGACGACAGACACCACGGCTCGACCGGCTGAGACGATCTTGAAGAGTAGACATTCGTACCTTATGCAGTCCGTTCCTGGCGCTCTCCCAACGCTCACCACTCGTCGCGGGCAGCATGTTGCGTAGGCTTCGATAGAGGCGCAGTCATTCTTGAGGAGGATGTCTTGCCCCGAGCCTGAGCCCTGCCAGCCTGCATCTTCGCTTCGTCCGTTCGCCTTCCGCTGAAAAATGAGAGTCGCCATCCGCGAGCAGCTCGCCGCGCTTGTGCTCTTCGCTGTCCTCCTGTCCCTGGCCATCATCTCCATCCCAACATGGATCTTTGTCCACAACTTCGTCGTCGACGTCGAGTCCGACGGCCTGGCTCTGACCGCCTCGCTCAAGGCGTCCGCCATTGCATCTGAGCTCGCTCTGGCGCAGACCATCTGCCAGACCGTCGCCACGCGCATCCTGCTGCAGCAGGCCTTTATCGACTTCTACAACCAAAACTCGACCAACAAGACGGACCCCTTCGCCAATGCGCGCGCCGACCTCGAGAGCGCCATGGGCACCACCCGCGGCCTCACCGGGCTCCTGCAGGCTCGCCTCTACTCGCGGAACTCGACTGGCGACGGCCACCGAGGCCTGCTGAGCGTCACCGGTGCCGGCGTGGGCAATGCGACCAATAACATTGAGCTCCCCTACCTGACGCCCGACGGCTCCAGGGTCAACCTCAGCGATACCGAGTACGGCTACCCGCTGTCGCTGTACCCCAACATCACGTACACCAATCTCGGATACCCAAACCCCTATGTGCCGTCAACGCCGGCCTATGGTGCCTATGCCTTTCCGAACGTCAATCTGAGCACCGGCGGCGGCCTGGTGCTGGGTCCTCTTGTCGTTAACGAAACCTTCGCCCTCATCTCTCTCACCATCCCCATCCGCTCCTTTGCCATCTCGGGCTTCATCCTCGGCTACTTGACCTTGGTCCTTTCCGCGAGCTCGCTGTCCACCATTCAAGCATCGCCCGAGGGGCTGGGCTCGACTGGCGTTGTCCTACTCGTTGGCCCGGCCAATCCATCCAACCGCTTCAACGTTTCGCAGCCGGCGAGCAACGACACATACTCGCCTACGCAGCCCAGTTTCAAAAACACACCCGTTCGTTTTGTCATACCTCCCGTTCCGGTCCCAGGGCAGTCGGATCGACACTCGTCGCGTAATTACCACTCCGGCAACTATTATGGACGTCCGTTCCCCCTCCATGACTATCCTAGTCTGACAAAGGTATATACCCGCAAGCTCTCGCCATTGAACAATTCCACCGTGGATCTCTCCACCACAAACGAACAGGGCGTGCCTGTCGCCGTAGGTGTCGCTCGCCCCGCAACTACCCTCGTCAATTGGGCGGTAGTCGTGGAAAAGGCCAAGAGCGAAGCTTACCAGCCCATCGACAAGCTGAGAGATATCCTCTTGGGATGCGTCTTTGGAACGGCCGGCCTTATCGCAATCCTCGTGTTTCCCTGCGCGCATCTCAGCGTCTTGTCCATCAGGCGGCTCAAGGCCGCGACGGAAAGGTCCATCAATCCTCCGGGATACGAGGAGTATGACGACGCGTATGATGAAGAACACACAGGCTCGGGAGCTACTAGTTCTAAGCGATCCGACAAGGGCTTCTTCTCTACCGTGAAGCGCAGGATATGGAAGGAGAAGAAGATTCTGCCCATCAGCGAATCCGACGCCCACCGACACGTTTTCAAGATTCCTGGCAGAGTTGAGGTTGGCAAACACTACATCACGGACGAACTCACGGAACTCACGGAGACGTTCAACGAAATGACGGACGAGCTGCTCAAGCAGTACACGCAGCTGGAGGACAAGGTTGCAGAGAGGACGCGGGAGCTTGAGGTGAGCAAGCGAGCGGCAGAGGCTGCCAATGAGAGCAAGACGCTCTTCATCGCCAACATTTCTCACGAGCTCAAGACGCCCCTGAATGGCATCATGGGCATGTGCGCTGTCTGCATGGAAGAGGATGATATTGTACGGATAAAACAGTCGCTCAAAACTCTCTATAGGTCAGGTACGTGGCTTTTCCTTTTGTTTTCTCTTTTATTTTTCCCTCTTCTTCATTTTTTCTTTGCCCTGGGACTCCATCATATCTTTGCCAGCGCTTCCTGTAAACCCAAATCCTCACCCTGCCCGACCGCTCCAGCTAAAAAGAGTTTCCAAAAAAAAAAAAAGAAAAAGAACAGTAGAGGAGGACATGGGGCTGCTCGATGTCTTTGAAGCAACTATAATGTCTTCTTGTGCGACTGTGCTAATCACCTCTTGCAGGAGATTTGCTACTACACCTATTAGAGGATCTCCTCAGCTTTTCCAAGAATCAGATCGGACAACATGTCAGCCTTGAGGAGAGGGAATTTCGGTTGGGTGACATCAAATCGCAAATGCTGTCTATCTTTGATAAGCAGGTGCGCGAGAGCAACATCACATTCACCGTGAGCTTCCTCAGTAGCGAGAATATCGAGCTGAATGGGAGCATGGACCAAAACATGTTGGAGAAGAGGCTGCCGGCTTTGGGTCCTAACGGTATGGGACGTCTGAAGGATGTTTACGTCTGGGGTGACCAGCACAGGATTCTGCAGGTCATGATCAACCTCGTCAACAACAGTCTCAAGTTCACGCCGTCCGGAGGCAAAGTGGAACTTCGCATCCGTTGTGTATGCGAGGTTGACCGGCTGGAGACTGATGTCAGTCGGACTTCGTCTTTGTCCAAGAGTGGCTCTGCAAGAGTCGGGCGAAGCCGTCATAGAGTCAGCTCGGGATCGACACGCTCCACCAACTCCAGGACGACGAATACCTCCACACCACTCAGAAACGGCACTGGTACCGCCCTCGCCATCAATCCCCTGGACCCAAAGGCCACGCCTCACGTTCGCATCCGGGAGCGCTCACCTACTCCGCCGCCGGCAAACGCGAAGCCATACATCTTTGAGTTTGAGGTGGAAGACACGGGACCGGGCATACCTGAGCATATGCAGGACAAGATTTTCGAACCGTTTGTTCAAGGCGACCTTGGACTAAATAAGAAGTTTGGAGGAACAGGCCTGGGTCTAAGCATCTGTTCACAGCTGGCCAAGCTGATGGGCGGGTCGATCACCCTCAAGAGCGCTGTTGGCGTTGGGTCAACGTTCACGATGCAGATACCCCTCAAATACGTCAAGGACCGCCCGCCAAGCACCGCCTCCAGCAGCACAGGATCGAGGCCAACCAGCGTCAGGTCGGTAGTTGGCGAGGGGCCCCGGAGCTCCTTGAATGGATCGGCCTCGCCGCTGCAGGACCCAAAGTCCAAGAGCAGCCCATCTCTGTTAGACAACAAGCTGCCCCGTCTCGTGGGCTTGAGTGCGCCGTTCTTCGCCGCAAAGCCGAACTCCTCTGCCAGTAAGGAGGACCAGACGGCAGCCATTGATAAAGCAATGGCCAACAAGACGGGCAACGGCAAACTGCGCGTCCTTGTTGCTGACGATAATGCGACCAATGTTGAAGTAGTGAGCAGAATGCTCAAGTTGGAGGATGTCTATGACGTGGCCATTGCCAAAGACGGCCAAGAAGCATATGAGCTGGTAAAGGCCAGCATGGAGAAGAACCAGCGGTTTGACGTGATTTTCATGGACATCCAGATGCCCAACGTCGACGGGCTGCAATCGACGCGACTGATTCGCAAAATGGGCTATGTGGCGCCCATCGTTGCGCTTACTGCCTTTTCCGAAGAGAGCAACGTTAAAGAGTGCATAGAATCAGGCATGGACGAATTCTTGAGCAAGCCCATCAGGCGGCCAGCCTTGAAGAAGGTGCTCAAGAAATTTGTCACTATACCGGAGGAGCCAGAGACGACGAATGGCTCGACGAAAGAAAAGGGAACAGGTTTTGATACAACTTCGGCGAACGGGACGGCGAACGGGACGGCAACGGGGATAAACGGGACCGCGCACGGCAACATGAATGGGAAAACAAGGGATTGAAGCATATAGACTAATAATATATTGTGTGTAATAGTAGTTCATGTAATGATACCATTTCCATGTCGCGTTGTTTGACCTTTTGACCCTGTGCGAGCGAAGCTTTGCATACCTATGAGACAAACGCCTGGAAACTCCAATAGAGAAAAAGTCGGTAATTCTTGTGAAGTTGAAACGGGACATTACTGCCTGACCAAACGCTGTTGCGTAACCCAGGCGACCAAAACCACTCCGGTTGGCTGAGTCCCCCGGGTTCTTGACGCTCGCTGAACTGTTGATCTTCGCAGTTCGACCGGGGTTTACAACGCGGATATTGTAATACCCACCGGATTTCAACTGAGCCCCTCCGAACAGTACCGTATTGGTATTGATGCCAAACTGGCTTCCTTCTGCAAAGGTACAGACTCGGCAAATCTTTCGGGATTTTCAGGGTTATACTACCACTTGCTGCAGAGGGTTTCTATAGAAGTATGTCTGCATCACGACTGGAGTGGATGAATTCAGCCGGTGAGCTTCCCCGCCGGATGAATGTTTCTATGGGGGCATGGGTTAAGGGGGGGGGGGGGGGGGCTGCTTTAGAATGAATCGTTATTATCGCATCCCGTCTTTCATCTGCTATAGCGACCCTTCACGAGCCCTAAAGAGGTATATTATGAGCGCTTCAATACATCGACGTTTGTGGTTACGTGGAAGTGTGGCATCTTCTGAACAACACGTTGACTCTCCCTTGTGAGTACCGTTACTTGTGAAGAAATAGAGAGGCAATACATGTGGTTTCGTAGTTATCTACCATGCCTTCCTTTGCTCAGGGCATTGCCCTAGCTCTGACAGTAACATTAAAGTTGTTTGGTTTGACAAACCAGTAGTTCGTTGTCTTCCACTCCCTCTCCTTGTCTTGTAGCTCGAAGTCGAAGTTTCTGATCAGCAATGGGATGAGCTTTGACATTTCCAAATAAGAAATGTGTCGGCCGATGCATGTCCGGGATCCCAAGCCAAACTGCTCTCTATTAATATTTTGATCATTCCTGGCAACATCAACATATTGGTTCACTCACTGGTAGGTAGTATGCAGTCATCTGGGCCAACTTGCGTCCACCCTCCTCTTCGGCCTCCAGCCATCGCTCTGGCCGGAATTCTGCAGCATCATCCCCAAAGACATCTTTGTTGTAATGTGCTGTCCATGTATTTAGACCGATTGAAGTACCTTCGGGAAAGAACTGCCCATTCAGTTCTATGCCGCCCTTGGTGGCGGTTCTCCATAGGGGAAGTCCGGTGGCGGGATGTAGACGTAGTGCTTCCTTCATAACAGCTTGCCAGTATGGCATTTCGAGGCTCTCTTTGAAGCTCAGGTGAGCGCCAACATCAGAAATGAGGTCGACTTCCTCTCTGACTTTGCTCATGACGTGCGGATGTTTGATGAGATAGTATAAGATGGCCGATAGACTAATGGCCGTTGTGTCGGATCCCGCGATGATGTTGGACATGCTCATCATGAAGACATGATAATCAGTCACCTTGGATGGAGCATCTTTATTTTTGATCATCAGTTTCTCCAAGAAGTCGTCGGGAGATCCATCAGTATGTGTTGAAACTGCCTTTGCTTCATTCCTCGCCTGCTCAGCCTTTCTCTGTGAGATTCTCCCTTTCACGTACGCTGCGAGATATGTTCGTCCAGCAGCTCCTCCAACGCCGAAAAAGTTGGCCACCGCGAATATGTACGGATGGAGAGAGGAGTATATGCCAATCAGGGTAGAATACGCAAGGATCTTGTGTAGCGCCTGTAGCAAGCCTGAAACGTCCTCCCCACGATCAAGGAAGCCGAACGGTTTTGAGAAGGTGATATTGCCGATGACGTCGAACGCATAACATTGGAACCAGTGGCCCATGTTGATAGGCTCTCTGCTCTTTGAGAACAAGGACAAGCGATTCAGCAGGACGTCCGCGCACTCATCCACGTATCTCTCGTAGCTGACAAGACTGGACATACTGTACAGCCCCTGAAACACTCTTCTTGTCTGAGCGTGCCTCTTGATATCTTTATCGGGGAACATGGTCCAGGCATCGGGACTGGGATGCTTCCACGCATCATACCAACCTGATTTTGGCAGCTTGGAGCCAATTCCGTACACCGTGTTCACAGCCTCTGGTATATCTATGCTGTACATGTTGGGCGCGAGGCGCACAATTGGGCCGTATTGTTGGTGGAGCTGGATGTTTTCATGTTCAAAGCGGCCGAGGGCAACACGTCTGAAGTACCACAGCCGAGTGAATCTTGCCCACAGAGGGCCTGGAATGTGTCGCGTTGGCGATGTGAAGCTCTTGATAAGGAAGAAGACAAGGCGGGCAACGACCAATAAGCCGCAAGCCGAAACGGCAAGCCTAAAAGTCAACATGGTCCTCTCCTGAAAACCTTGGCTTTAGGAAATGATACTGGAGCCTCGACATTTGCTGAACGAGATCCAGTTTGCCTTTCCTTTATATACCCTGTTTCACCTCTAGCCCACATCAGCTGGGGTGGCTCGAATGCCGAATTACCCCGGATTTGGTCCCGCAGCATGGAGGTCCCGCAGCATGGACTTGAACAAACACCGTGACATTGACTGGTCACAAATCAAAGTGGTGTTGTCGGCTCAGTGGGGAAGCGCGGGAGCGCCTCCATTCCGCCATCCTCAACCAGTAGGAGCCGTTTGTCAGACCTGCAGAAGGCCGATCTCTCTGCCTTGCCGTCACCATTTACCGACTCAATCGGGGATGTTAGTCGTTATGATTGCACTCATGCCTCCTGTACGTGCGACAATCCGGCTCCATTTCGGGGTTTGGGGCGTCACGAGCGTCGGCTCGGCGTTGAAGGAATGTTCGGCGCCGGTTACAATACCTACGACCGTCGCGACGGCTAATCCTGTACCCATCACTCTCGGGCAGCTTCACACGACGGCATTTCGATGAAATCGCCTATCTTTTTTTTCTTTGGCAAATTCTCAAGATGTTTGTTTATCATATCAGTTACCCTGGTCCGTTTCCGATTTCTCAGCACTCTTCTGCCCTGCAGCCTTGCCATTCAGAGATTGTCCGTCGAGACCGTTACCGGCCTCGTCGCCACCTTCACCTTCATCGTTCCATCCCGGTATCAAGTCATTGTCCGCCTCGCCCTCCTGTTCGGGATCCCAGCCCTTCAGTACTCTCGAGGCCGCTGCGCTTCCCACAACAGGCAGCTTTTCGATTCCTAGTTTCTTTGCCGATTCCGGTATTGCATTGGGATCTAGGGCCCCAATCTGAAGCAAGACGCTGGCTTGGTCCCAGTAGACGTGCTCATGATACAATTTCCCACCTCTCATAGTAACAATACTAACTACGAGTATTTGGACTCGCTTTTGGGTGGCCGGGACGCCTGGCAAGATCCAAGGCATCTCTTGTGTATGCTTGAACCGAACGTGGATCTCATCGACGATGCGGTCGGCACCAATGGTTCGAGACACTAGAGTTAGCTTGAGTGACTTGGGGTTCCCAAAATATTGGGAATAGAATTCCTCGAGCTCGTCAGCTCCGATGCCTCCTGTCAAGGTCGGAATGTAAGTGACATGCGGGCTTTTGTGTGTCGTGTAGCTGGACATGGTTGTGTCGAGGCTTCGACTGAGAAATTTCCCTAGGCGAGGCTGTGAGCATTCACAAGTAATCGAGTGGTGTCGTGGCTTGACGATCTACCTTGAACATTTTGTTCCCAGACGTACTCCAAGTCCACCGTCAGGCCGAAAGCCCTCCTCGCCGCTGCCAAACTCCGGCTCCATGCCAAATCGGCGCTTATCGCGTCATACTCGTCTAAATCGTGCTCTGCGAACCCAGGCTGTGCTTGGTAAGTATAGCTTGGATACGCGAGTCGAAGCAGACCGCCGGTGCCCATTCCTGGTTGGATTGTCCTGCGACTTGTACGCCGTTTGCCTTGGATGCCGACCATTTGCGACTGGACTGTGACATCGACGTCTTCTCCACCGATTAGATGCACGAGAGCTGATATGTTGTTTGGAAAGCGACCTTTTGGGTCGGGGATCGCGGTCGGGTAATAAGCGATGAGCAATTTGATCTTGAAGTCGGGGTTGTTGTCCATGATGTGGTAATGCTGAAGACACATGGCAGCAGCATCGCCATATGCTAGTACCATGGATCCAGATCCATCTTAGCTCTTGTCTCAGAACACTTGTTTCCACGTGTTTTCGCCTCACCTACGATACCAAAGGTCTCGAATGTGGTTGTCTCATTTCCTTTGAGGCCCTTGAGCTTTTTCAAGTATTCGTCTCCCCCATTTCCCATGGGAAGATACTGGACGTCAAATCCTTCGGCCTGCCACTCCGCAATAGTCACGGCATCGAAGTCATCGCTCTCCGCAGTAATGTACAATCTAGGGGGTTGCCGCGGGAAGTCTTGCGAGAGAAAGTTTGGGTCTTTGTGGTCTGAGACGTTCTGCGACAAGATGCGTGCGTTCCGCCCTTCTGCTTCGGGAACGGCGGCCTTTATCAATTTTGCAGTGTCCATGTTCATTTTGATGACTGTGGCAGCGGAAAGCGGACAACTGAAGCAATACAGGCTGCTACCGGCTGCTGCCAAACGGTGCAAGAAGCTCTCATTGCTCGGGGGGGACGGTCGCCAGCATTAAATAGATATTGACGCAACCATTCGTAATACACGGCCCATGACGTCAGGGCTATCGTGTACCAGTGCTGCTTGAAGCATCATTAGACGATTTGGTGTTGTTCGGTTTGCTGATCATACCCTTTTAGGTGCAATCTAGTCATAGGTACCGTGAAAATGAATGCGCTAAACGTTTGGGCCTGTTCAAGCTATACGTGTATTGAATGGTTGTTATTGTGCTGGGGCATATAGGCTCTATTTCATGCGGAGACTTCTAGATGCATGAAGGACGAGATAGCTGAGAGAGAAGATGGATTGGTAGGATAACTATATTAAAATATTATGCTATTGTTCACAAAAGACCACCATATTGCCAAGTAATAGCTAGACTCGGTAGAAAGCCCAGGAGATACTCGGATCTACTGGCAGCAGCATCAGACCAGCACGAATGTCTCTTCCCGTTTGGCCTCGTGCTGAAAGATCTCACCATCCATGAATCCATCGCAATAGGCCTCACCAAGATACTCATACTTCATCTCATGAATGCCACCATACTGCAGTCTCAGGATATGTGGTGTTGTTCCACCACGGAATATAACAATGCGGTCGCCCGCCTGCATACTCACAGGTCCTAGACCTACATAACCATCTGTTGTCCGAAACAGCTTCCGACCGAGATTCTTGAGCAAGTTCGATGTGAAAACACCCATGTCGGGGCTTAGGCTGACGTCTGCACTGAGCCCGAGCTTTTCGACGCTCCCAGGGTCTGGCCGCAGCTTTATCCTTTGAAAGCGCCGACGGTATACGAGGACTTTTGATGCATACCAAGCTCTTGCTGAAGCGATACACAGACCAGTCATGTCCACGACGAAATCTCGGAGAGCCCGACCTGCAATGTGACCAGCTAAGACTGGATTGAGTGCCCATGTTCGTAGACTCTCCATTTCAGACATTGGTTGCCAATACCAGGGGACGATCCCTATTGTTCGATAGATGCGCGTGATATGATACGACGCAATTGTCTCGTCTGATCTGATGAGTCGTTCTCCAAGGCTATGACAAGCGCTATGCAGGGCTTGGAGTCTTTCAATGCCAGCAACTGCGCCGAGTCTTTCTGTAAAATGGCGATAAGAAAGGCCGGAGTCGCACAAACGCAATTGCATTCCAAGCTCCACATCTGCAGCGGACAAAGAGAAATCTCTTCTTCTAGCTGTGCCAACAGCCCGTCGAGCGAACCTTGACGCTTCGTCGAAGAATAACTTGGCCGAACGATAATCGATTTCCTCATGTACTTTTGTATTGGGCTGTGCCTGCTGCAGCCTTTGTCCCACCTCCTGAATCTCGCCCACAAGGATGCCCTTGATAGCAATCCGCGGCTGCGACCCCTCGAGTCGAATAGGAGCCTCCCCCATGGGTCCTCCGGCGTTCGATGTTGGCTCTCCCAAAGCTACATACCGTATGGGTATCGACAGATCCATGGCCCAGTCAGGCACCCAAGAGGGTAAGCCTTGGGTTTTCCTGGGATGCTGGTTGAACAGCAAAATGTCGACGCTTTCTTGCAGAAGTATCTCCGCGATCTCAGAGTACATCTGCACGACTTGGGCGTCATAGTCCACGCGGACCTTTCTTTTCACAGCGTCGTCAATTGCTGCGAGGCCCAACAAGCCAAAAATGCGGTCCTGCTCCAATGTTGCCCCGATTTTCATAAGATGATGGTTGACGTTGTACTTCAGAATGAGGTCGTGCAAGCCCCGTCGTTTCATTGTTTGATGAATGGCCTTTCGTTCTTGAAAAATGCGATTCAGCCCACCCATCTTTCCAAAGAGAGCATCTCGCTCCCTAAGCACACGCTGGGGCACTGCTTTGTCTAAATTGCGCACCCAGTGCGTGTTGTATATACTGTAGAATAGGGAGCTGGCTCGGAAGCAGTCGAAGCAGAGAGACTTCTTGCCGCACACGAAAATGACGGATGGTGCCAAGCATGCCTCTTGGATAACCCACAGTCGGTTGAACCAGTTTCGATCAAGTACATCGGCAAAGCCGCTCAGTGGGAAACGATCTCCGTATCTTGCAATCAAGTCTAACAGATCATCACGGTCTTCGCGCTGTTCTTCATTTACCGGCATTGTTGGATCCATCACGGCATCAAAGACGTGCATAAATTGACTGACCCGAGGTCCCATAACCCTGCTCAGCACTCCTTCTGAGCAAATTTGACGGACAACATCAAAGTACCGGTCAGATGCTCGAGTAGACGGACCCAACCAAACGAGAGTGCGGGCGCTGTTCATATAAATGTCTTGCATAAGCGATACTTGGTGGCTCTTTTCGTTCTTGTCCTTTTGGTTGATGCTAATTTGGTCGATAAAGATGCGGTCCGTCATGTTCTGAGTACCCAAGTGGAAGAGGGCATTCTCGAGTGCTGGAAAAATGAACAGCTTGCGGGAGCCGCTGTCTGTTTCGACGATGACTTGCCGATTTGGCTCTCCCTGCCCCGCCGGCACGTTCCAGGAGTACGAGAGAGCATCATAACGAGCGCTTGTGTCGATATCAGCCTCTAGAACTCTGATGCGGATGGTGCCAAAGGTGCCTGGGATGATGGAGGGTTTTGGCGGCAGAAGCTGAACCAAGCGAAAGGCCCTTTTGGCGGGAGAGAGTGGCGAGTATTCGTACGGCTCGAGTGGCTTCAGCTCGAAGAGCGACATGCTGTTCGACGATATGGGCAAATGTCTCACAATAACTTACGGAAGCCGCGTGTGCGTGTCGGTTCGACGATGCTTCTTTTTAAGCAAGAGCCATGCCGCCAGTTGTCTGGCTCTCTGTTCAGCTCATGCATCTCAGCCGCAATATTGGCGGCTTGGCAGAGACCAGCATGCGAAGGTTTGCAAGCGCCATCGCAGATATGCTTAGAGTAGTATCAGTTTTTGTGGACGAATTAAGGTTAATCTGAACATTATTTATTTTCTTCTCTTTCCTGCCTAGCCTCGTAGATGTGGAGAGAGCAGTGTGGTGACCGTAGAACAAATGCTGTTGGTCCGTCATCACAGGGAAGCAGCTTGGAAGTAGCCTGATGATGACGACCTACCTCCTACTATCAGGTACCTTACTCCCTTACGTGAATCGGCTCGCCATTTCGGTTCTACCGGCGAATGGGAGACTTCGGGTACGTGCAGCATCGGGGTAGGTTCTCACGACGTCGCGATGTTCATAGCTACACCAGATTACTAATTCTTTCTATTCCTTGTCACAACCTGTGGCTACAGACATCCGCCTTGGGTACCCAATCCTCATGCTCTTTCTAGGGCAATAGCTTCCCTGCGACTCACACTCTGAGGATCAAAGTACGGCTTCTCGCCGAGGCTCACAGCCCTTGATCCGGTGCGCTCTCCAAGGCCCTCATTGATGTAGTCCGGAGTGGCGGCGTGGTAGACGCTGCGGTTGTCCCAGATAGCCAAATCGTTCACATTCTGCCATCGGTTGCGGACCTGCAAGTCGTGGTTTTCCACAATCAAGCGGACGAACCAGTCCAAGAAGTGCTTCGACTCGTCTTCCGTCAGGCCGTGGATGTACTGGACGTGGTGGCCGACAGCAAAGACACTCTTCCATCCGGTAACGGGGTTGGTACGAATAACTGGGTGAATGGCTTCGAGAACATCGCCGACGTTTTCGGGGGCTCCTCGGGGAGTGGAAAAGAGAGAAAAGCCGTTCTTATCAGCGGCCTCTTTGAAGCCAGGCTGTGCGTAGTAGGCAGTCAAGCCATCCAAGAAATTTTGCAACGGCTTGGAGATACGATCATAAAGCTCATATCCAGAGGCCCATAGTGTATCTGACGAAGAGCATGTTAGCTGGTCGGGAAATAACCTGAAGACACGGTATGGTAGGGGTCTAATCACCTCCTCCCGTCTTCGGCAGCTCTGTCAATCTCAACAAAGCATAGTCGCTCGGAATGGGCTCAAAAGTGATGTCAGAATGCCACTGTCCCTTTTGGCTCTGGCGCTTGCTAGACTTGAGATAGCGGTCCGAGTAAATCTTCTTCGCCTGTTCAGACGAGATGACGCTGATCTCATCGTCTCCCGTGCCGCTACCACGGGCGCCGTTATGGACTGGGTGAATATGTAACCCAGACGTAGCCGGCTTCCCGCTCAGCTCTCCAAGGCGTTGGACGAGCTCCTTCTGGAGATCATTGGTAATGTTGTCCTGCTTGCGGAAGAAGACGACGCCTCGTTGAGAGACTTGGGAGCCTTGTTAGCGAGAAGACTGCTTGAGCAGAAGGTGACGAAGACGATTGCAAGGTCATACTTGTGATGGCCAAATCCCTCAGTAGCTCATCAGAGTTGGGTGCCCTCAGCCATTCGGCAAGGTCGACATCGGCAAATTCTCTTCCAATGACTGGCGTGACATCGAACTGCTTGAACTGATCGAGGACTCCGCTCAACTTCAAGGGCTCCCGGTGTCCGGTCTCGAGGGTTGGCAGGGCTGGCGTCTTGAGGTCCGCAACCGGCTTCTGCTTGAGGTTCTCCGTGACTTGTGTCACGGTCTCTGTAACAGATGGTGCCATTTTTCTGCTTTGCGTTGATCAATATTGTAGTATTTTAGATGAGAGTCAGTCTTGTTTGTGGACTGAGAGGTCTAGTATCCCATTGCCTTGATGTATGCTGAGACGGGTGAAGAGGCGAGATTTCGGCACCATATAAATATTCCAATGAGCAATGAGAATACTCTGTAATGTTACAACGTTCTTGACGACTGAATTATGCAACACTGCCTATAATTTCATCATCTCCAACCCCTGATATTGCGTGTCGCTTATCACTGTTGATTGGTAAGTAGGAACGGTATCACACTGCCTCAGAGCCATGCGTGATAGCTCAGCTCCGGAAGTCGGTCACCCAAATGGGTGGTAATTAATCTCAATCTACTGGCAGACCCTTCGTCTTGACCATTGGCTTCACGGCTTATCGGTGGTTCTGATATATAGCATCAAGGGTGGTGTCTTCCCCGCGATTGCGTGCCGAACCGCAGTTTGACGCGATTCTAGTATGCGATCACGAACGCAACATCGCGCAATCCCACGGATCATCGCGACATAATGAGCGATGATGCGAGCGAGGAGAACAGATTCCGTTGAGCTAGTTCGACCAACTGCGCAACTGAAGGTGCATCATTGGACAGTGTCGACGGGGACGATGTCCGACCCCCAGAAGCGAGGTGCAAACCTGACATGAGATCCACTTTCAGTCAGCGGCCGAATAGTACTCGTATATTCTCTCACTGGCTTTTGAGATAGGAGAATCACCATGTTCGATCAACTTCAACAAGCATACTTTGATCTCCTGATGCCAGCACGGGAGGGATTGCATAGTCAAAACCATAGAAGACCGACCACAGGGCAATGCAACAACTGCCCCTCACAAGACCAACCCTTTAGTTTAAAGCTAGATGCATCAATTCTCATCCATTTCTCAATACTAGTGTCTGACATGCTATCACATGATGTCTATCCAACGTCCGATCCTCATCTCAGTTTTCTAAAGTGCTAATTGTCCGTTTGCAGTTCCGGGTAGCAGAGATCAGTTACTGTACTCACACAAACATACCTAATGGAGCAAAAGCGAGTCAAGGTACACTCATAGCTATGCCTATGTCGAACGACATACAGTTCGTTAATTTTCACAAAAATCTCTTATCGCGAGCCAACAACCTCTCCTTGTGTCAAGCCGCAGTTATTGCTGTTAACCAACAGCAGTGGAGTCAGCTCTTGTTATGAGTGCTGCGCCAGGTTAGGTAGTTCTTAAAACAATGTTTCGTGTCGGAACTTCATGATCCGGCGCTGTTAGCCACCTATCAGCGCTAACTCACTAAATCCCTGGCTAAATATAGCGAAGGTAGAAAAAAGAAAAACCAACCAATGGATAGATCATGCACTACGGATACTGGAGGCTGCTTTTCCTTTTACTGATACTTATCCATCAGTAGCCGATGGCTATGCTGACTGGGCTCGAGCTCCGGAAGGTATGGTAGCCGGATGAGATCTCGAAATAGCATTCTGAAGGCTTATATTGTCGAAGGCTTGGAGGCGATGCTTGAGAAGGTCATCGAAATTCATTAGAAATATATAAAGTTGAGAATGCTCTGCAATCAGCAAGATATAATCATCACCACACTCAGCTCATACGCTTAACAGTTATTTTCAAAATACACTATTTACCGACTCACAGCACTAGCAAAAGTGCCATCTAAAGCGCCCATCCATATCCTTTCGACCCTTTGAAACAGCCGCAATTCACGTCGAGATACAGTCAATATGAAGACCTTCGTTACTGCTGTTGGCTCCATCGCCATGCTCCTGACCTCAGTCAGCGCTCTTCCCAAGGCCATGATTCCTCGTCAAACCGACAGCTGCTTTGTCCGCTTGAAGAACGGTGATGGCGATGCGTCCGTCGGTGCCAGCATCCCCGCGGATACACTATTTTCCACCGCCAATAACCGCCAGCTTAGTGCTGGCGTAAATGCACAAGCTGTCACTCCTGGTTGTGTTTGCCAGGCCTTCAGTGATGCAGCAGGTACTCTCAAGCTCGGCGGTATCTTCGACGACCAAACGTTGGTCAGCTTTACAGACGCTTCTAGCGGAGAGGTTGATTCGCAGATCGACCAGGCCGTCTCCATTGGCTCATTCTGCTGCGTTACAACTCCCCACACTGCGCCCATTTGCTCCGGTGCGAGCACGCCACCTCCTCCCCCTCCCGCTGGGACTGTTCGTGTGCAGATCAACTCGGCAGATGATTCAGCGTCGCAGATTGAGGTCCCAGTGGATGGCTCGCCTTTTGAAGTGTCTTTTGGCATTGCCGATGCTGCGGAAATTGTTGACATCGAGGGCTCGAACAGGGCTACCTGCCAAGCCTTTTCTGATGTCGCGGGCACTGCCACGGTTGGAAGGCCCTTCAGTACTGATTTGGTGTCTCTGAACGGCGGGGCAGCTGTCAGCATCCTGTCCCTTCGCTGCAAATCGACATCGTAGGGGAGATAATCCCCCCTTTTCCTGCAATTATACATCACATAGAGGTTATAGAAGGAATCCCATAGAACTTGGGAGGTATAGGGAACACCGGAGTTTTCTGAACTTGGGAATATGGGACTTAGGGCTCAACGAATTGCAATTAACGCACGTACAATGGACGTATATTTGATAAAACATGCCTGGTCATGACAGTGATGCTATACTCTGACTTCAGTAATGATGCCATCTATGTGACCAAATTCGCTAGGATCTCTTGGCTAAGCTCTGTCCCTTATCCTCCATAGCCTTTCCGTACTTCTTGAGCCGAATTGCATTGACACTGATAAATCCAGTCGTGTCCTTTGGCGAGAAATCACCAATCTCGTCCATGGAGCTTTCGCTTGCATCATACAGCTTGGCGGTCTCAGACCACCGCCCAAGAACGCTAAAGGAACCCTTGTAAGCCCGGCATCTCACTCCGCCATTCACATCTTCCTGCGAAGCAACGATGCTCTTGGAAAGAAACGCGCGCTCAGGCGAGAAATAGAGCCCATTGTACAGCAGCTTTGCGTAGTTGAAGGTGACAAATTGGTCACGCAGAGCGCGGACTTCACGGTCCAGCACGAGGCCTTCTAGATCGACGTGGGCGGCCCGTAGCATAGTCAGACCGGGCGTTTCGTAACAGCCGCGGGACTTCAATCCGATGAAGCGGTTCTCGACAATGTCCAGTCGTCCGACGCCGTTTCTGCGCGCAATGGTGTTGGCAGTCAGAAAGAGGTCAACGGAGTCTGTGACGACCTTTCCGCCCTCATACTCGAGCTTGACTGGGAGGCCCTTCTCAAAAATGACGGTAAAGTTTTCAGGCTGATCAGGGGCTTCCCTCGGATCGACAGTCAGTTGCCACATGTTATCTGGAGGACTGGTGTTTGGGTCCTCCAGGATGCCGGCTTCATAGCTATAATGGGCGAGGTTCTCGTCCATGCTCCACGGCTTGCTCTTGGTGCTCCTGACGGGAATGTCCATAGCCTTGGCATAGTCAAGCAGGTCGTTGCGGCCTTTGAACTTTTCATAGAAGACAGGATCGCGCCAAGGCGCAATGACGGTGATGGAGGGCTGGAGAGCGTAGAAAGCAAGTTCAAACCGAATCTGGTCGTTGCCCTTGCCTGTGCATCCATGAGACACGGCGAAACAGCCTTCCTTTTGCGCAATGGCAATCTGTGCTCGTGCTGTCACGGGACGTGCAAGTGATGTGCCGAGGAGGTAAACATTCTCGTAGATGGCGTTGCATTGGATTGCAGGGAAGCACTGCTCTTCGATGAACTACAGAAGAGGGAACGATCAGTACCGACCTCTTGATTGGCGAAAAGGCGCTGCGAGTGACGGAGCGTATACTTACTTCTCTGCGAAGATCCTCAATGTAGACCTTGCTGGCGCCAATCTTGAGCGCCTTCTCTCTGACAGCGTCAAAATCTTCTTCCTGGCCAATGTTGGCCGTAAAGGTGATGACCTCGTATCCTTCTTCCTAGAGAGCGTCTCAGCCCGACGCACCAAGCATGAGAATGAGAGCCGTGGGCAATGACTCACCAACAAGTACTTCAAAATGCAGCTCGTGTCTAAGCCGCCAGAGTAAGCGAGGCACACCTTTTGTTTGGCCATGTTCGTTCAAGGGCGGTATGGCTCGCTGATGTGAATGTTGATGATGGAGGCGTGTGTGAGGATGTGCAGAGTCCCAAGAAACGGCTACGAGTGAGGGGAACGAGGGTGCACGGTTGCTTGGGCCATTCTTGCACGAATGAATTGGAAACTAGTTGGGTCTTGTTATCCTCATGACGTATCGCTCGCTGTTAACATTGTCTGTTGGTTGGTTGCACACCGTTTCGTTATTCGCCGGTTGGTCGCCACCTGCATATGCGTGTAATATCTCCATGCAGTATCACAGCAAGGTGACTGGTGGTTTGTTGGAATGCGGGCCTTGTTCTGCCCGGCTTACACTTCATACAATATGGCAAAAGCCAATATACATAATGCTCCGTAGGATCGACTGCACAAGTTGCGAGGATCCGTCGTGCCGTAACGCCAACACGGCAAAGGATTAATTAGGCTATTATCCATGACAATTGTCCATGGCAATCACGACTCTATCAAAACTCTCACGGCGCCAGTCTACTTGCATCACGCGGGAAAAGAACAGTCTCGCGAACGTCGACCAAACCCAGATATCCCTGAACAAGACGATTCAGTCCAACTGCAAGATACGTCAGTAAGCACTGCAAATCATGAAATGAAAAAGCATCTGGCAAATGACAACTTACGCCCGAACCCGCCCCATGGCGGCATCCCAATCTCGTGCGCTTCAGTGTATGGCCGCCACCCGGGACAATCCGGATCGATGGGGTGTGCGCGATTGGTAAAGGCTGATCTCACTTCCTTATACGAGTGAAGCAATTGGCATCCCGTGACAATCTCTTGTCCGCGGAGGATGATGTCGAAAGAATTCGTCGTCGCATCATCCCGACCCAACGATGAGACATTGCATGGTCGAAGATGCTTTGGGAAATGGGTTATGATGAATACATCGGTCGGTGAGTCCAGAGGCGACTGATCGCCTACAAAGAGACCTCCCAAAAATGCCTCTTCTTCTCTCCTGAATCATATTCGTTAGTGATAGTGTCCAACTTCAGCAAGGTCTATCATGATAGGTGCATACGTAAGGTCTTCTCCAACGTTAACCACCTTGCCAAGCTGATCACGGAGAATAGCTTTAGCCTCGTCAAATCGTACGCGCGGCAGCTTCCCGTTCTTGTTCAAGCCTAGCTTGAAGCTCCCAGCGGCAGGATATAGTCTTTGTGCAGCCGCTGTATGTCTGGCATACTTGTCGTCTTCTTGCAAGGACCGCAAAAGGAAAACCAAGAGACTGTCGGCAAGCTCAAGAATCTCGGTCCAATCATTCTTGAGCGCAAACACGAGCTCAAGCATTGTAAACTAGAACTTGCACGTAAGAATTGCTGCCGAGGAGATTGCCAACATTCGAGGTCAAGGGAAAGGGGGGTATCAGACCTCTGTCAGATGTCTTCCATCACTCTTTGGTTCCCGACGAAAGACGGTATGAATGTCGTATACGCGTTCAAGATCTGCGGCGAGCGCCATTCCTAGATGTACCTCACCGGTTGGTGCCAGCATTGCTTGTCTGCCGAGATAATCGAGATAGAAGTGATCCTCCTCCTCGGCAGGGAACTCATAACCCACGAATGCCGGCGTCGGAAGGTAATGGAAGTCCTGGTCTGCTAGATACTTGACGGCTAGATGGTGCACCGCCGAGAAAATCTTGAAGATTGATGCCGTGGCTGCGACTCGAGCGTCCAAGAGTCTGTGGTCAAGCCTTTTGTCTAATAGAAGAAGTCGATCGTTCAGAGAAGGCACAGTTTCTCCAGGAGCTCCATGCAGCTTCAGGTCGTCTGCTAGATTGGCCTTTGCCTCCGATATCACGGTGAGCGAAGATACCTGCGTAATTGTAAAGGTCTCCGAGCTTGCCGTTTCAGACGCGATTTGGCTGCACGAGATGCGGACAAGCGATTCAGGAGTCAGGCACTGGGCCGTGGCAAAGATGGCAGGGTCAGCGTAGTCTGTAGAATTTAGCTTGCATTTGAAGAATTGGCCATCCTTTCTGAGAACAAGGGCAATTGAGCCGTCGTCTTTATTAGGAGAGAGATCATGGACACGGCCGGTAAGGGTAATGCCTTTGTTTTGATCAGTCTTGTTTGGATCGATGCCCGATGTCTGAAGGTTATCTGCCTGTAGCTCGTCTGCACCCATATCTGATTATGAAGACAGTTTACACTTCAAGAATGTTGACTGAGTTGAAGATCAGAATGGTTATTGTCGAGCCTTGGCGGACCTCGTTCTTCGGGACATGAGTTAAACAAAGAGGTTGCTTGGCACTGAGATGGTCTTTTGAACCTGTAGATTTCATGTACAACGTTGCCGTGGCCACACTTGGACGCAAGAATCCCGAAAGATCTGGGCGTAATGGGTAAGCTCCCTGCTTTTTCCGAGTAGAAAGATGCGACGGCGTAAGTAAAACACCATACATCTACAGATGTGTAATCTTGACTTATTTCTATCAAGTAAGAAGAATGAAATCCTGCTGGATAATACCAGCTTTAGACTTTGATTGATCAAAGGTATATTGTGTGGCAATGATGTGCTGAGACAACGAAGGATTTGGAGGATCAGGAAGAGATGTCACTCCCCGAACCCCCAGACCATGGTCTTACGTGCATATACCTGCAAGTAGCAGTACATGAACATGCCGAGTTCGACGATGTCTTACACCGTGCATGCAGCATAAGGGCTTGCGCCATCCCCAGTCTCCATAAGCTCATGCTCATTTCAGAGGCGTCATCTCATGGTCCAGATTCTTGTAAGTCTTTGTTTGTTTGATGCTTTCTGAGAATGGCAACCATGGCTCTGGAGGTTATCGACTATCAGCGCTTGCTGGATCGCGACGCCAATGAGATCAAGAGGCTGGTCAGCATCTGTTCCAATGCCGGGCTGTTCTTTCTGGACTTGAGAGGACAAGAGAGCAACTCCCTGCTGGCAGACTTGCAGCCCATCATTGCTGCTCAGCGCAACTTCTTTGGGCAGAAGCCCGAGATGAAGATGCCCTTTGCGAGTACACTTGACGGCCGAGGGTGAGACGACTCTTTTCGAACACACAGGGCATGGCGTTGACTGTTTCATACAGATACGACAGTTTTGACGAAATATTCGTCCAGAGACTCAAGGTTCGTCTGCATCTTGGGCTTACATCCTGATACGGAGGCTTAACTGTTGTTATTCTCACAGTTATCGCGCGAGGAGCAGATCCAGGGCTGTCTCGCCCTGCCCAAAGATCTGCAAGCAGTCGAGGCAAAAGTCAGCAATGTGTCCTCCAGAATCGATGCCATTCTTCGTCATCTCTCCATGCTGCTATGCCAAAATCTGGACCCACCTATCGCGACCAAATATCTGGACGATCCTAACAGCACCGGCCTGAGCAACTTGTGTCTGGGTATATCGGCCGCAAAAGTTGGAACTCCGGTCATGGATGAGCATTTGGACGAAGACCTCCTGACTCTTACCTTCTACGATGAGCCCTTCCTGGAGGTGTTGGACAGACAGGCACAGATGTGGAAAGCCATTGATGTGCTGGAACATTTGCCGATTGTAAATGTCGGCGATAGATTCCAGGCGTTTTCGGATGGGCGACTGCATGCGCCTCTGCATCGAGTTAAGCAGACACCGAATGAGATTAATCTCATTATGTATGATTTGGATGCAAGCATACAGTAGGTGTGCTGATTGAATTATCGAGAGACTCTGTAGTTGGAAAGTAAATGAGCACTACCTAGCTAGATATATCAGATTGTCTTCTGAGAGTGATAATTTCGTGCTAGAGCGATCTCAATCTACATATTCTGAAGCTCTACAGAGTTTGATAGTCGCTTACGCCAATATCTTCTCAATCTCCGCCCGTCCATACTCGTAACCGCCAACGAATTCACAAGACTTGGCGGGATCTGGACCGAGCTCCGTCAAGCAAGCCTCGAATCCTGTCCTCTTTCGCTCAATGACCTGCCACAGATATGCCCTCGCCTCTTTAGCCAGCAACGATTCGTTTGCAGCCACCCAGATCTCCATGTCGAGAAAAGCGCGAGCCAGACCCAGCAGGAATGCCCCGTTCTTCTGCGGTCTCATTGACCAGTTGAGCAGAGAGTGCGCAAACTTGGTGGCTGCGGGCGAGTCCTCGCTCAACGGTCCGATGACATCGCCAAGGCACGTCGGCTCGGGAACGTTGTTTCTGTGAGCCATTTCGCATCCGAGGGCGATGAGGTCGGGGCGATATCCACGGCGTAACTGCTCATCCATGCCCGCCATGCCCGTGTTCTCCGGGCTGTAGCCCATCTCAGCGCGGATGATTTGGAGAATCTTGGACGTCAACGGTTCGGCTGTCTGATACGGCGACGCTACTATATTCTCCAACACGCACGGATGAACGAACCATAGCGGAAGAATGGCGGTAAGCCTGGTCTCAGAGACCTGCAAGGCGGGAAATGGAACAAGGTCGGGCGACGCGCCAGAAGGAGGGATTATATCCTGGGGTTCAAAGACCGGATGAGTAACAGCCACATCCTGCCGTGAGGGTAGAAAGGAGTTTTCTAAGAGAGTGTGCCCCCTAACAGTCTTCCAGTAAGCGTCTCCTGGACGAGCATCCTTTTCTGGGAGTAAATCGATCCAGGTGCGCATGAGATGGACCTCGCTGTCGGTGAATGCGCCAAACATTCTACCTGTCCAGGAGAGCTCTTTCATGAGCAGACTCTTGCCGCTATTGCCTCTGTACACCCACGGCCTCGAATCGGCCAAGGCGTGCAGAAAGCCGTGTTTCCACTCGTCTCCTTTCTCGTTGGCCGAGAAGGGCGCCGAAAACCACTCTGATAAGCTTTTCCCACCGATCCGGGCTCGACTGGTGCAGTGAATCTTGCGTGCGAGATTCGCCTTGCGATGGAGGATCTGGATCAGCCTCTCTTCAAATACGTCTGGCGTCTCGCTGTCGTCGAGGCTTTGCGAAAGCAGATAGCCGGCCTGGATGCGCTTCCATGCTTGCTGGCAGTCCATCATGCCAGTCTTGCGCATGAGCTCCATGAAGGCGACAATGTTTGCCAATGCCATGCCCGAGTGTCCCGAGTCAGCGTTATCGATGGATACATGGAGAGCGAAGTAGTAGGCCGAGATGCCAACTTCAGGGCACTCTTGGGTAGCTCTCAAGCCAGTGGGTGCCAACGCTTCGAAGTGCAAGTTTAGGCCCAGAATCTCGGGTAGAAACTCGTTGGGGAAGAGAGAAATAAGCAATTGGCCGATTGAGTTCCTCCACACTTGCTCGTCGTTCAGTTCGTGGTGTTCCCGGATGAACTCGATCGAGTCACACGCTGGAAGATGAACACCATGCTCCCTCAGCAAATCTCTATAAATCAAGACGTGATTCTTCTCAACATCTCCATCTCCTAGTTCTTCTGAAAATACCTGCCAGGCATTCTTGGTAACGTCTCTGAGCACAAATGGTGTCGTGATCTTGTGAACGCGGCACAGCCAAGCTCCATCGATGAGGTTCAAGGGGGCAAGGCGCTTAAGCCATTGGATTGCGTCTTCTTTGGTATTGAAGAGTTCGCGAGGCGACCCGGCTGCTCTTCGCCTGACATACGATTCGAATCCATCCGAGACTTCTTGACGTTCGGCCTCAAGAAACATATCTAGAGATACTGCGTCATACTCCTTGAGGTCTAGAATGCTGCGGGTCTGCGGCTTGTATCTTGCCATTGAGAAGCCATGTTCCAAGAGTTCTAGAAGCATCTCCTTTGCTGCCGGTAGAACCTCAGGAAACTCTTCGAGGTTCTGTACTTTGTAGTACAGCTCCTTGTATAGCGTAACTCGCTCTGCCAATCTGGCATCGAGCCTTGATTTCTGATCTGTATCCAACGTGGTGACGCTTGTGGCCTTACGGCCGAACCATGTACGCCATCTCCTACCTACGAGGAAGGCAATGAAGAGCGAGGAGAGGACGATAAACTTGCTGACAGACATGGTAAGATGTTCGGTATCTGGAATGATGTAACAAAACGGCCGTGCTCCTGGCTTGAAATTGGGGTGAAAGAAGCTCCAGATATCTGACAGTTCAGTTGTATAGCACTTTGATATCACACGAGATTCTCACAAAGTGACGAGTATGCGTGTCTATAAGATGGTGCTATTGGATGCGGTTTATGTATTTTTGATCTCACCAATTGCATGACCGCTTGAAGGACGTGCAAGCCTCGGGGACTCGAGAGTACAGGTACATGTCCGTCTCCTCACCACTGAAGGAAGAAACACTCATCTTCCATCATGTGTAACCCAATGCGTACTTATTCCTCCGCCGCTCCCTCGTTGCTGTTGCCGAATTCCACGTGTATGTCTCGGTCAAATACGATGATGATGCAAGAGTTGACGCCTTCAGGATTGAGTCTTGGCCATATTATGCCGGCTGTTATATTGATTTGTGTGACCGGTAATCTGCAGTTGAGCATTGGGATGAGGATTGATACAATCCGCTGAGCCAAGTTTCCTGATCCCCTATGTGTATCTACCCGACTATTCCTTCTGCTTCTCTCCCAAGGCATGTCACACACACGGAAGAGAGGTAACATTGACACACTATTGCTCAATGCTCCCAATGTCGGTATATCATGCTTGAAAGGTGGGTCTTGATGATAGGCTTACTCGAGCCGACTTGGGCATGAGGAAATTTCAATCCGATTTGGTTACTGGTAGTGCGTTTGCGTAAGACCCTGCCCTCCTGAACGGCTGCTATCTCTTCTGCGTTCGCGTATTACCGCCGAGGCAGAAATGAAAGTCTTACAGTTTCCGCCCCATCTGACCACTGCGTATTGCACATGCATTCCTTCTCAGAAATGGTATAGGAAAGACTTTCTGCCAGTCGCTTCCGACAGGCGCCTGTAGGATCAGGAGATGTGTCATATAAACTGGTGAGATGTTCAGCTCCAGCCTCGAGATGTGAGGTATTGCACCCCCACTCATGGCATGGGTGTTTCGAGCCGAGCTGCTAAAGGCCTCGTACTCGAGCAATGAAGCCATGTCTGGCGACATCAAAGTGGGTTGAAGGCACCCGCGGAGGTTACATCCGCCACCCGCGAGGATCCGCCACCATGCTCTGGGGCTGACTTCGCGGAACGTCTTGATGCAGCAGAGGATCATGTCGTGTTCTAGATCCTTGCGGTTGATCCTTGGCGGCCAGAGTTGGATACATGATGGATGCAAGGCGAGAGCTCCGATTGGGCGGACGGGTATCGGGGATCAACGGAGGGGCCGCCACGGACAGTGGAACGCGGAGAGTTTTAAGGGCTGAGCAGGAAGCTTAGCAGCGGGGAAATAGCCTAAAGTGATGTGACTACATACTACTCTCGATCATAAGGCCATATTAGTAACAGTGTATATGAAGATATAGAAAGTACTAACTACCTACATAGGTATACTAAGCATAAATAAAGTATTTAAGTATCTTTAATATTTTCAATCTAGTTATATAAGATACTTAGTATATATCATAAATAAATTTATATAATAATCTAGAATACTTTCTTTTATATATTTTCTCTTGATACAGGGTTATTTTAGCTAACATGAAGTGGGTATGTGATCTCATGTCGGTCACGGTTCAAGTACCCGATCCTCACAATTCTCAAACTCAATACTTGTACAGTACTGTACTGTCTCTTGTTGGCTATTGCATACATGCAAGACAACATGCAACCAACCCCGGCTAAATGGTGCCCCCCAGCTGCATTCTAGAGCTGTCAACTCACATTTCACAGCCCTCGGGAACTCGAGCAGATTGCATCTCGTCTGTTGCACATACGAGTGACCTTGCAGCATGGCCACCAAAGTCCTGACGGAGCCGCAATCGGTCGAGCTCCAGCCCGTCAAAGCCAATGGCAGCAGCCCTGACGCAGCATCGGTTGAAGCTGAAGCGCTCTCGGATCCGTCCAGTGGCTCTTCTCCTGCTCCTCCATCAGCAGACGCCAAAACGGCCATCGTCCACTCCAGATGGCGAGCCGCGCTCGTTGTTGCGCAGCTGCTGGGCCTGAATCTCTTTAGCAGCTTCTGCAATGGCGTCGTAGTGGTCGGCCTGCCGGCAATGGCGGCCTCTCTGCACATTGACGAGGGGCTGCTTGTCTAGCCGACTTCGGTCTTCTACCTGACTGCTGGATCGTGCCTGTTGCTGGCCGGCTCCATCGCCGACGTGGTCGGCACCAAGACGATGAGCCTGGTAGGGGCCTTCGCTGCTGCCGTCTCCGCCATGGCCTGTGGTCTGTCCCAGAGCGGCGGCCAGTTGATTGCCTTTCGTGCTTTGCAGGGCATCACCAACGCCATCATCGTTCCCTCGTCCGTCTCCATCGTCTCGACCGGCCTGGAGGAGGGAAGGCCGCGCAATTTGGGCTTTGCATGCTTGGGCTTTGCTGGTCCGATTGGATTCTCCCTTGGTCTGGTTCTGGGCGGCGTCTTTGCCGACAGCACGGGCTGGAGGGCCGCATTCTATCTTGCCGCAGCCACCACCTTCGCTTTGTTCTTGGCCGGTATTTGGGTATTGCCAAAGAATGCTGTCCTTCCGGGGGATAAATCGCTCTGGTCCAGAACTTTGACGGAAATTGACATCGTTGGGGCAATCATCGGGACTGCAAGTCTGGTCATGCTGTCCTATGCTCTCGCGTAAGTATCTCTCAGCAGTTATACTATTTCCGAGCGGAGCTGATCTCAGGCTTCAGAGTCTTATCCGCAGACACCCACAGCATTCACAAGGCATCCACCATTGCTCTGCTGGTTGTCAGTGCTGTCCTGATCCCTGGGTTCATAGGATGGATGCAGTACCAGGAAAAGCACCAGCGCAATGCACTCATCCCCAATTCACTGTGGAAAAACTGGGTGTTTACCAGTTGTTGCCTGATGGTGCTCTTCACCACGGCTGTATGCAATTGCATGGAGCTATACAGCAGTCTGTTGTAAGTCGTCGCTTCTTTGTAACAGTTCTTTTTCCGTATCGAGTTAACGTTGGGCCTGTTCTCTAGCTTCCAGCAGGTGCAGCGTCATTCTGCGCTGCGCGCTTCTCTGCAGATTCTCCCGTCGCTCATTTCCGGAGCGTTGACTAACATATCGACCGGCATCTTTGTGAACCGTATGCCAGTTATGTGGTCTGTACTCATCTCCTCGACCATCAGCGCAGTTGCACCGCTTCTCATGGCCCTCATCCATCCCGAATGGCCTTATTGGTACGATGCCTTCTTCGCTCAGGTGAGTGATACATGATACCCAGTCCATCGCTATGGACGTCTGTTGTACCTGTATTTGTCTCTGACTGCATTCAGATTCTGACTCCATTGAGCTGCGATATTCTCTTTACCGTTGGCCTCCTCGTCGTGTCAGACGTCTTTCCCGCACACATGCAGGCCTTGAGCGGAGCTGTCTTCAACACTTGTGCGCAGCTGGGTACAGCTATTGGCCTGACCCTTACTTCACTCATTGCAACCTCTGTGACCAATGCGTCTTCTAACGCTGACAAAGAGTCACCCAGCGCCCTTATGGATGGGTATCGGGCCGTCTTCTGGACCATGTTCGCCGCCATGGCATTAACTTGTGTGCTTAGCGTGCTTGGATTACGGACAGTTAAGCAGTTGGGGGTTAAGAGAGATTAGACAGGCTTCGTTGCGTCGAAGCTTAGAGTCCTAGATATGGACTCGTTCGTCACAATCAGTCGGCTCGGGCTAGGGTGATCAAAGTATTGCCCCTGAACTCGGCTTACTTTCCACGTATAAGCCATGAACGCAATTCAATTATGCCGAATCCTACTAGTCGTACACTTATGTCTTCTCTTTTGGTCACATTAGGCGAAAATCCATTCTGCATTCCTGTCGCTGCTCCGTCTAGCCAGCAACTCTGCGATCCGAGAAGCATGATGGCTTGTTGTCCACCCAAGGTCCCGCTCAATACCTGACAGCAATTCTACGACAACTTCAAGGTCTCGCGAATCGGTGAATACTTGGCCCGCCACGAAAAGGGCCTGAACGGAATGCACTCGTACAGAATCTGGAGGGTTCGTCAGGCTGATGCCACAGATCTCGCGAGCGTGACGAAGAGCCTCGCGCTCACTTTGCCGGTATGAGTCCAGGCGGGCAGAGACCGACGAGCGGACAGCTGTGGATTCTTGAGGCTGGTTTGTCAGTAATAAAATGCAGGCCAAGTGGTAGCTCTGCATTGTGGCGGCACATATTGGAGCTTCGTACCATATCTTCTCAAAGTTGAGAGGGCAACTGTCCTCTTCAATCCCACTGGTTCGGGCACTTGGGTTGAAGCTCGCCGGTAGTGTACAGCGCCAGTTCTGAAGCTCTCTGGTCAGGATATTCCATCTCTCGATCAATTGCTCTTGTGTCACACCAACAAGCGGTCGCTGACCCGGTGGAAGAGCATAGTGTTTTGGATCTAGGGCATCTCCAGCTGCGATGTGGTTCGCAATCTTGCCCAGAAGCCAAACTAGCTCGTTGCTCTTTGTATCCTCCTCCACGTCGGCAGCATTGGAGATGTAAAAGGGCATCAGTGATCCGTGTTCGTCGGTGACAAGACCAGCGTTCTGCCACAGACGAATATCCTTCAGATCCAGCCGTGTTTGTGTCTCACTGATAACTGCTGTAGGTTAGTGCTGTGAGGCCTGCGTTATGGAGCATCACGAAAAACCCTTACAAGAACAAAGCAGATCTTGTCTCGCCAAGCTCCAAAAGATAGGCCCAGACACAGCTGCTCTAGGAATGGCGATCGGGGAGCCCAAGAGTGACTCAGAGGCAAATCCAGGACTGAAAAGCGGCAGCGCACTAAGATGAGCACTCCAAGCTGTGCCTGGTGCATCCATTAGCTCATAAGTGCAAAGTATGGTGATGGAAGCAAACAGTTCCTCTTTATCGGCATCATCGGTCTCGAATGCTCCCCGATTGATAGCGATTTTCAGATGCTTGATGGCGCAGTCATAGTGCTTGGCGGATTGATACTGCCAATCAACAGTGCTCTCGAGTGTCGAGATGGCCCTGTGTCTGCCCTCTGGCTGCTCCGCAGACCGCCCCTTTGCGATGTTTTGACAGTGACCCAAGTGTTTCGCCGCCAGAGCGCACACAGCAGATTTAAGGAGTGGCTTTGTGGTGGCCATAACTGTAACCTTGTGTGAGAAGTAGGCCCCAGTATCAAAAGTGTCCATCCTGCAACTGGTCAGCCTTTGAGTCCATCAGAGCTGAGATCGTGCCCTCACCATTGGCCGGGCCCTTCCTTGAAGTGTCGCAATAATTGTAAAGACAAAAGGTTGCCGTTCAGACCATTGTTAAGCTGAGCAATTGATAGCGGCTCATCTTCATGTTCATGCGGAGATGCTGGGAAATTCTGTGAGGGACTGACCCCGTGACAGTTTGAAGCTTCGTCTGTTTGGTCATGAGCCGAAGTTGAACTCCTCGCGTCTGCATTTTGTGCCGCCTCTTGGCATGGCTCTTCCACCTCGCCTTGATAGACATCCGTGGAGTCAGGTTCATATGGGTCTTCAATGTTCACGAATTTTACTAGGACATAGAGTCAGCCTCGCCGATAATTCCCTTACATCGGGTTCCATACAATCCTTGGGAACGTCTAACCAAATCTGGTCCTCATCAAATGGTTCGCAACGGTTGACCTTGAGACTTGTTTTCCTATTCGAGTTTGCGCTGCTGCCAAAGGTGCGAAAGACGGCTCTCTCAATATAGAGACAGTCCCGCGAACTCTTGATACAATTCTGACAGATCGGCTGCTTTTCATCACACTTCAGTTTTCGCTGCCGGCAAGTGATACTGAGAAGGGTGTGGGTTAGGCAAATGTCTCTGAGAGCGAAGGCTCTTACTCACCAGCCACTGTATGAGCGCACGTTACCCCTGCTCTTGGGCATGGCAGTCCGTGTGGCCCTTGTCAATTGATAATATGAGTTTGTAGAGCATTTCGAAGACATTGGTGTCGACAAGAGTTGTGGCGGACGAAGACGGTGATGCTTGAGTTGGTGAGAAGATTGGGCAAGTAAGCCGAGAATTTGGCGGTCCATAAAAGTCTACACCCAGCTAACCAACCAAAATACTCGACTTTCGTTCCGCTTGATGATCGCAGAAGCGACTAATGTGCAACCACTAGCCGGGCAATCCTAATAAGTCCAATGCGCTGTTGCATATGGTAAGGATTTGCAATGCGCGAAAAGCGCAATTCAGCATATGTGTCTGTAGTCTTTCCTCAATGATCCCTTTACAGCTTCGTGGTCTGACGTTTCGGAGCTTCGATGTTGTTGTTATGACCCCCTCCCAAACCCACCCTTGCCACCATCCTTCATCTCCGCAAACGCAGACGCATCTTTACCACTAGTATTTTGTAAGCAGCCGCTTATTGCAGAATAACCTGCAGGTCAACCGGCAACTCCATCGAGCGACATCGGATTGGACCGGCTTGATTGCTAGTTTTGTCCGTCATCCTCGGCACAGTTGCCCCTAAGAGCGAGCTGGCAACGAGACAAGGAGTGACAAACGTGATATGCTGCATGTTCGACAAACTACCCCAATGAATTCATCACTGAGTCTGCAAGAGCTGGTATGAGACTACTACGAACCGGTTTGGCGATGCCGTTTGGGAGGCAGGGACCGTCGGCTTGCCTTCCTCTGGTGACTATCAACAGCAACTGGTATGAGCATTACATCATGTGGAGCACCTGGGTACTCTTGGAAGAGGTGCAACACGAACATCATGTAGCATCATCCACAGATATAAATCATCACGTATATGCAAATGAGCACGAGCATTCCCTATAACTTCCTTCATTATGTTCGCTGTTCCCTACTATTACACAGCTGACGCAGCCACATCGTCGAGTATGACAAGAGATGCAGATATTCTCATTATCGGTGCAGGCATATCGGGCGTCGGCTTCGCTATACAGCTAGTCAGGCAATTTGGTTCTAGGAACTTTCAAATCATTGAGAAATCGGACAACATTGGTGGAACATGGTGGATCAATTCGTATTCTGGATGTGGTTGTGACGTACGTATTAACATAGTTCTTATGCATATGCTTAACTCTCTAGGGCCGTGATCTAGAACGGCTGGTTATTTAGCCTAACTGGTAATTTAAGTATATCTAGCTAGTAAATTAGGTAGATATATTACCTTTTATACTAGCAGATCCCTAGTCCTAGACGCTTAGCTAAAACTGTTAGTATGCCTCTTACTGCTTTTATAAGGCTTTAGCATAAATATATTATAACTTTATAAGGCTAATACTTAAATATACCTCTTTTTATATAAAAAATATATTTATTTTTAAGTTATAATAAGCTAAATATTTATAAATATATTATAGGCTAATTTATAATAACCCCCCCTTTAATAAATAAATAACTAAATACTACTATACTTTAATTATTTTATTAAGATAAAGGTTACTAGTAACTTAAATTTAAATAAAAGCTTAATACTTTAAGATATATAAAAGAAGATTTTAAAAAGTATAAAAATATACTGCCTAAAGTATATTTAAGAATTAAAAATATTAAAAAATAAGTACTAGAATTTAAAAAAGTTCTAGTAAGTATTTAAGGAGGCTAAGGCTTTATTAAGTATAATATATAATTTTAATACTAGCTAACTTTTAATAAGTAAGTAAAATAAAAATATAATAATTATAAGGCATTATTTATATAGCTATAAGGTTATTTAAAATAGCCTCCTTATTAGTAAGTATATAATAATTAATAGCTAAAAGATAATTTTTACTAATAACCTTTTTACTGCTTAAAATATTTAAAAACCTAGTAACTTTAATAGCTTTATTAAGGCTAGCTAAAATAGTAATTTAAGAGATATTAGTATTTTAAAGCTATTTAGTTAGGAAGATAATAATATGCCTTTAGTATTAAATAAAGATAATAGTATTAGTAATATAAATAATAATTTACTAGCTATAAACCTTATTAATAATAATAATATATTATAAATAGCATTACTAGCTATATAATAGCTATTATTATTATTAATACTAGTGCTAGTGCTTTTTTTATTACTAGTATTATTATTTATAGCTAGAAGTATAATAGTAAGAAAGAGAAAGCTTATAAAAAAAGATAATAAAGTTAGTAAGTTAAATAGGCTTATAGCTGCCTTAGCAGCCTAGAATTTAAGGCTTTATAAGTATATTATTATTATATACCTAGCAGTTAGCTTAAAAATAATTAAAAGTGCCTTTAAAAATGCATATACTTTTATAAATAATTATAATATAGAATTTATACTTAAAGTAATATAATAAATAGCCTATAATTTAATAAATATATTAATATAGAATTTATTATTATTAAAAAAGGTAAAGGATATATTTTTAGTAAAAAACTTTAAGTTAAATTCTTAATATTTTTATAAATAAATTTAAAGTATAAACTTAATATATAAGGCTATTTTTTTTTTAAAAAAAGCAGTGCTATATTTACTTTATTTTATATAAAATTTCCTTTTAAAAGCTATTATTATTACCTTTAATATATAATAAAAATAAAGAATTTAGTTAAGTAAGTAATAGTAATAGTAAGTAATTATATTTAGACTAAAGCTTAAAAAGCTTAAAAGTAAAAAGGTATAAAGCACCTTACTTATATAAAATAAAATTAAGGCTAATTTTATATAACTTTAAAGCTTTAAGGCTTTAACTAATTAAAAAAAGAGGTTCTGCTTTTAAATCCTATATACTAGCTGCTTAATTAAAAAGAAGGTAAGACTATATAATAAGGCTATAGCTTATAACTAGCTTTTATTATAATTATTTTTCTTTTTTATAATAATTTATTTTAATTACTATTTCCTTTTTTAACCCTTTTATTTTTAAAATCTTAAAAAGTTATTATTATTAAAATATTATTTTACTTTTTACTTTTTTTTTATAATATTAGCTTTTAAAGTTTATATTATTATATTAGTTATAATATTTACTTTTTTTATTTACTTTTACCTTTATTTATTAAATTAAAGTAAATTTATAAAGTATTTAGCTTTAAAAATAAAAAGGCTTATACTTTTTTTTCTTATTTTTTTTTTACTTTAGCTTTTTATTTCTTTTTTTTTACTATTATAGCTAATAATAAGTTAAAAAGAATAATAATATATATTACTTAAATAAGTAATATAATAAAATAAAGAAATTACTTTTACCTTACTTTAATTTATTTCCTTTAATATATATACTGCTTTTAATTTTTTTATATTAAAAATATTACTAATTTTTAAAATAATTTTAATTTTATTATTTTTACTAATATAAATTATAAGTTTATTAATTTTAACTTCTTTTATTATATTATATATAATATTAAAAGTAAATACTATTTACTATAAGTTTTTTAAGGCTTTTTTCTTTATTTTTTAATAATTAATTTTAATACTTTTAATCTCTTTTTTAATATTATTACTTATTTAAGTAAGTAGCTTATTTACTTATAAAAGTAATATAAATTAAAAAACCTTAATATAAATACTTAAGTAAAAGCAGGAGATATAATACTAATACTTTTTTTATAAGCCTTTTATTAAAAATTTATAGCTATTTTTATTAACTTATAGCTTACCTTTAACTAGCTAGACTAGGCTTATTATATTAAGTATAGTTTAATAAATTTATAATATACTAACTTAAAGCCTATTATTAACTATACTTAATTAATAATAGCTTATTATTAGCTTGCCTTTTTTAAATTCTTTTAGCTATTACTTTATACTTTTTTTTTAATATAATATCTCTTTTTTTTAATAGTTTTCTTTATTAACCCTGCTTTAAATAAGAGTTATAATAAAGTAGTAAAAGGCTATAATATTAATTAAAGATATAAAAGTATAAAAAAAATACTATTAATATTCTTAGCTTTTTTTTAAAAATTATAAATATATTACTTAAAATCTTACCTTAAAGGCTATATATTAAAACTATACTACTGCCTTATTAAAAAAGGTTAGGATTAATTTTAAACTTTAAGCTATATATTAAAAAAAGTTACTTTACTTTTAAAAAAAGGTATAAAAAGGTTTAAGTTAAAGGTTAATATTAATTTACTATATTTTTTATTATTATTAATAGTAGAATTAATATATATAGCTATAAATTATATAAATAGTATTAATAATATTAATAATATTTATAATAGCTATTTACTTTTTTTTTTATTATTTTTATTTTTTTTTTAATTAACTTTTATTTTTTTAAATACTATAATAGCGCTTTTATTAATAATAATAAACTCTTACTTAATATATAATAAGTTATAAAGGCATTTTAAATTATTTTATAAAATATATAAATAATAAGAAACTTTTTAATAAGCTAGCTAAACTAAGGTATTTATAATCCTTTCTTAAAAAAGGTCCTTTTATTAAGCTTTATTATTATAATATAATTTAGTAAATTAAAGGTATTTATTTATAAAATTTATTAATTTAAGTTATTAATAATAAAATAAGATTTAAAATATTACTTTCTTTTAGCCTTTTTTTTTTATTATTACTTAAGTAAAAAAGTATAATGCCTTTTTTTTTTATTACTACTTAAGTAAAAAAGTATAATGCTTTTTTTTTAATTTTTTATAAAAAAGGACTTAAGTTTTTATATTTAGCACCCCTTACTTATATTAAGTTGTATTATAAGTGATCGCCGGCACTCCCCAA